CAGGGTTGTATCATGTGATTTTAAGGCCCTCGGTGTGCAATTTTTAGGAGATGAAGAATACTCGAATACTCAAATATTCGATCGGAGAAAATCAGAGTACTCGAACTCGGGATCTCAATGCCAACTTTCACCCCTATTATAAAGACTGACGCCCTCCAAAATCTGACTAGACAGAATCCAATCTGCAAATCTGTACTTGGCGACAGGAAAAAAAAACTAGGCGGAAAGCCATGTTCCCTTAGTTTTCTGAAATCATTGCATAGACATTCTGAAGAGGTCTCAGGAATATTACAGGACACATACAGGCGTTTCGCTAAAAATAAAAGAGCCAAGGCTGTCATGATTTTCATGCGAAAAGCTACTCCCCACCTGGGATGGGGATTTCCCTTTCTGAATGGACTGGCCCCGTGCCATTGAATGTTGTTGTTCCCGGAAGTACTTACTGAGCGAACAGCGCTCTCGCCAGTGCCAATCTCATTCTCCAACCACCAGAGAACTGCCTGCAAATTCAAACAGCACAGCAGAAAAGCACACAGAATGTGATCTAGTAAATCCGCAGATTACAGTCTGAGTCTGCAGTGCTCCACTACCCCGATGTTAGGAATCGAGAACATGGGCATTCACCAAGTCCTTAACCGGGGGGAAAGATCAAGGAAGCAAACTGCATATAAAACCAAAGAAAGAAGTAAGTTACACAAGAGGAAATACAACAAGGCTTGAAAGTGATTGCGCTAGAAGTCAACAATTAACAACAAATTACGACTCCTGGGTCAAATTGAATCCCCCACTCTGCACATAGCGAAGTGCAGAATGTGGCGGGCAGGCCCCTCGTGTCGCATCCAGGTGTGATTTTTACACAGCAGAGGTGGGTCCCCAATTGGAAGGGCCCAGGCCAGTTACTACCGGCGGATGTATCAACCTGCTGTGAAGGAAACCACCCAAACGTGTAGAGATCTATACAACAACTGGATCCAAGTGCATCCAAAAAGTCAACACTGCCATCACTCTGGGCTGGCTGTGATGTAGCACTTCCAACCCCCCTGGCATTTTTCAAGGGATTTCCAAGAGTTACAATGGCAAAAAGAAAAGAAAAAAGTATCAAAAAGGTTCTACCGAGATTTGAACTCGGATCGCTGGATTCAAAGTCCAGAGTGCTAACCATTACACCATAGAACCTTCCTTGTTTGGCAAGTCACATTTTGCACCAATAACCACTCAAGGGTGCACTCAACAGTTGGCTACTGTAAAAGCTGGACATAAAAAGCTTGTGACAACATCAGGACTACATGCATGCCTGGTCACCCCAAGAGCGTGCAGGTCCAGTATCAGAGATGTTTCAACAGAATTTCAAGTCCATGTCCTTTTGATGATGCAATGCACGATGCAAGTGTGTTTTCAGACAACTCCGTAAGCATGAATAACCTGACAGAGATCACCAATCACTTTCAGCACAATGGACCCACAAGCTCCAATCTTTCAGCCGACACCCTACTGTGCCCACACACAGATCAATCAATCAAAAGAAAATAGCCCGCACAAGCCGGCAAAGGCAGGGAGCAAATGAATCACATACTTTGTAGGTTGCTGTTGCATGGATGGAGAAAATCCAAGACCTGCCAGAATTCGGCTGGCTCTGTAAGCACACACACACACACACACACACAAGCACACACGCACAGACACAGGCACACGCAAACACACAAACACACACAGATGAACAAGCTTTCAAGAGAACAGCACCATGCCCAGGCAGATCAGATACTCGAGATGACTGACAACTTCCACCTGGGCTGATGTATGCATTGGTGGAATACTGAATGTGGAGACAGGGTCTGCAGCAACACTGGGAAATAGCATATCCACAAACCTGTACACAGGATTCTGCCCAATACATTCCTCACTAGAGGAACCGTTCTTCACAAAGACTTGAAAGTACAAGGAGTCAACGCGATGCGAATATTCAGACTATCAGCTACTATCTAACGGCATGTGCACCCCCCCCCCCCCCCCCCCATACACACCACAAGAGCATGATGCACAATGTGCTAGTAGTTCTAAAACGTTTCTGTTGCAAGATGCAGCTATTCTCCACTACTAGCACTAGCCCCGGTGTGAAAGATGTGGCGCAGACTACCTGGAGCAGCATGATGTCTAGGGCTGGGGCACACCTTATCACGATTAGTACAAGTTTAAAAACCAGGCTTACTTAGCTGGCGCTTGGTCTGCTTCCAATTCGGCTAGTCTTGCATAGATCTATCATAAAACAGAAACAAGCAATGCCAAACAATAGAGAAGCCGCCTATCTGGTTGCCAATATACATGCTGAATCTGCTGATAACATGTTACAACGAAATCTAACGAGGTGATCGACCTGCATACTGGCCTAGCACATTGCTGCAAGAATTTCCCGTGCAGCTGGCAGCTTTTTCTTGGGATCCACATGCACACTGCCTTCATCATGGCCAGCAAGTACACTGCTCAACACTAGTGTTGAAACGATCTCACCGGATACTCGTTAGCTCGCTCGCCAGAAACTCGGCTCGTTTGTGCGGCCAGCTCGTTTGCACTAACGAACACCGTACACCGTACTCCGTACACATGGCAGTGCATGTCGACCGGAGAGTCGTTAAATATTTTACGACTCCCTGGTCGATCGAGAGTCCAGTCCGGCGCAAAGTGAAAATCACTCGCAGTTACAGTGACTGTATGCCTGCACAACACTTGAGTTGTTTCAGTTGTCGTTGCAGCTTTGGTGGACTCTAGTGATGTCTTGTTCCGCATCTGCTGACCTGTCGCAGGATATGCTTTGGTCACTTCTCCATTCAAGTGAAAGTTACGCTCAGTCGTTTAGAAGTTATCTCCCGAGATGCAGCGAAGACCAGGGCTACTTGCAATCTTTGCAAAAACGGTCTATTCTTACAAAGGCTACTCGACGACGGCGCTGAAAAGACATCTCGACAGCAAACAGCAGTCCGAAGTGAAGCAGCAGCAACCCCAAATGCCGGCGGTGATAATTTGAACCAGCTGAAAAAATCGAACTTTTTAAAATAGAAAAAATTATTCAAAAAATCATATTTGCCACATCAATGAAACTCGTTAGCTCGCTCGATAGCTCGCTCGTTAGTGGAACTGATCGCTAGTTTGTTATAGATACGCTCGTTTCAACATTACTCAACACGCTACCAAGAGAAATTAACTAAGCTCCCAATAGTGTGCAACTCTGCATACAGGGTCTCCGACGTCGACAACTCATGTCACGTGTTCCAAGTACGATTCGTTCTACGTGCAACGAAGGCTAACGTGCACGCAGTACGAGTATCAGCCATGATCATGGTGATGACTCGCGTAAAGCTGAGTAGGTTTCTCGCAGGAGTGCTATTATTTTTCAACTCCACTGGTCACTAAAACTGGCTGGGAACGTACAACATGAACACTACATCACATGATGCGAGTTTTTGCCGTCGGCGGACACCATAGAAAGGGCCCTGTCCTGTCCTGAACATTGCCGTTTCCGGTTACATGTCCCCTCGTGTGAGGGGCCGACAGACATGGAGAGTTAAGCACACAGTTGCACACTCTTGGGAGCTTATGCACTCTTGAAGTTGCCTACCTTCATGAGTTCGCCGCTTGTATCCACTGCTGGAGTAGCCACAGGCCTGCAACAACGACACAAGAGAAAACAAAACTCAGCGACACATGTACTAGTACTCCGTTCTGTTTGTCAGTATTAGTACATTGGAGGGCAAACTGGGACTGGGCACAGGCAGTGCAAAGAACAGAAGAAGAACACGGCTAGGAGCCAGCCTGCCAACGTACTGTGGGTCGCGCGTGGCACCGGTCAGCTCTTGCTCGCGCTGCAGTAGCTCCTTACGCTCCACGTCGCACTCCAGCACACTATCGAGGGCACTGGTGTTGTCGCCAACCACTTCCTGCTCCACGTGCAAGACAGAGATATGCGGTGGGATACGCAGAGATCGGCTGCACAACATCACAGGGGACGAAGCACAATGAAACGCAAAGTGAATACCTCGTTACACGCACCGAGTAGCAGGCAATTACGGGCATCACACGAATAAAAAGACAGCAGGGATAAAATATCATTCCTATTATCATGTGCCATGTCACCATTTCATGGCAGCAGCCTGTGTTTGACATTGCGTGAGAGTAGTGACTTCATGGCCAAAACACGATCATTTACAAGACCGTCCACAATCATCAGCAGCTGCAATTATTACCAAACCAGAATAACGTTAGTAATGGGCACATCAAGTATGATCACAACAAAAACAACAACAATAACAACAACAACAACAACAACAACAACAACAACAACAACAACAACAACAACAACAGCAGCAGCAGCAGCAGCAGCAGCAGCAACAAGCACAAAGGAGAAAACCCGGAAATCTCCATAAGACGAATCAGACTCCACAACTACGAGAACTCTCCGCCACTCTCTGTCTCTCTCTGTCTCCCTCACTCACCTGGCGATAGCACGTAGCAAAGTACTCTTTCCCATTCCGTTGCGGCCGACTAGACCGTAGCGCCGCCCAAAGCTCATCACCACACTGGCATTCTCCAGCAGAACCCTAACAGACAACACAAGAACACAGGCACGGCCACGGCCACAGGCACAGCCACGGCACGGAAAGAAGACATGTCAGCCAGGGTCTCCGCCTTGTGTGTAGAAAATAACTATTAAACTTAAACATCAAGGAATGGAGGCTAACAAAGAGTAGCACCAAAGCCCGCAGCAGCAGAAGTACAACGCAGAGACGAAGATGGACCTTTGCAACAGGTCCTCAGGAAATACCTAGAAGCAAATATACAGTATTTGAATAATGTCGAGTGAGGTAAAGATTCGAGAAACACCCCAATTCACTACCAGACTGCGCACACGATCAACACTTGGTCTTTACGAGGCACAGACAGGTCACAAACAGCTGTCCACACTAAACTGCCAGAATAAACGGATTGCAGCATCGCACAACAGTCGCCCACGCTAACATCAGCCTAACTGGCACAGAAAGGCTACGGGAGGACTCACTTTTCGCCAAACGTCAGGTCAACGTTATCCAAGTGAATATCGGTCACCTTGCCATTCTGCTTCATGTCACGCTTGTTGACAACCTGATTAGCAGAGGCCTCCTGGAGACTAACAGGAGTAACACACATACATAAACACACATACACAAACACACATACATAAGCACATGCGTGCACACACACACACACACAAACACACACACACACACATGGTTAAATCAGAGCGGACGACTACGCAGTGCGGTGGTACACATGTCCACCTATTCACTGCAGGCCTTCAGAAACCGGATAGCAGATACATGTACCAATAGAAACCGGTCTAAAACAGATGAGCGTCCTCCGTATCTGTCCAATACCCACACAGACAGCACACAAGAGAGTGAACATGCATCTTTTGCCAGCCCATATTCCTGGATGAAATGGTCTTACACTGGCGCCTCGGCAGCACTAGTAGTTGGCTTCTGCGTGGCCCTTCTCTCGTTCTTCTGCCGGATCTTGGCTTCTGCCTTCTCCAAGCGCTTCTGGTCTACATTCTGTAGAGCAGTAGCATCAAAATGAATAGAAGATCAGGATACGAAGAACACAAACCTATTGCAAAGCTGAATAAATATAATTATGGGCATACACTCAACCAGGAAGTTGAAAGGATATGCTGAAATGACAGAGGGGTCCAACCAAACATCTCCACAATCACTCACCGAAACATCTCTCGTCTGCTTCATAAAGATACTAGATGCTTCTTGGATGTCCCTCTCTGCACAGCAACACACACGGAGTGACCAATGAACACCGTCGACTCTCAAACAAGCCAACACCAGAGACTGTTCAGTGTTGACAAGAGTCATAATTACCACAGTGATATATCGTTGATCTATAGGTCCAGAGTAAACACTCGGCATTGATGACTTCAAATTCGAATCAATACAGCGAGTAAAGAATTTTTCAATGACAAGGCAAGAGGGCAAGAAGAGGCTGTACACGCGAGCGTGCGCACGTGCGTGCGAAAGTAAGCTGAACATTCCTGCTCGGTGCAAAGCAAATGGGAAGAACGTATCAGCAACGGCTAGGAAGTTCGATGTCGCTCCCAAACGTGTGCGCGAGTGGAGGAACTCTAGGGCAAGCTCCAGAACCTCAATGTTGGCAGACATGCTTCCAGCCCTGGAAGAAGATCGTTCTTACCCCAAAAGGAAAAGCGAGTCTACAAGGAGTATTCTCAAAATCACCAACAGGGGAAAATATCAAGCGCTGGTGGTTCAGGGCAAAGGCGAAGGAGATAATGTGAGATGTCTACCCGAACACTACCGACTTTGTTATCTGAACATTGGTTCAAGAGGTTCCGTGTTCGGCTCAACCTGTCATTCAGGAAGTCGGCACATGTAGTGAAAGACCGGTAATAAAAGACTGGCGCTAATTTCCGAAAACACTGTACATGTATGTGGTCCCCCGTGCATACCACTTACCGACGGCTTGGGCAATTGCTCCCAGCTGGACAGGTGCAGACAGTGCCTGGTGTAGTCCATCAACATTGGTGGCACCTCTATTCCTGCAAACACGCACGCACATATATCATGTAACACACACACACACACACACACACACACACACACACACACACACACACACACACACACATGGTTTACGCGTCTGAAACATCAAAGCAGATTACTATATGAGCATATTTCCAGTGTGGAACAAGCAACATCATGGGACTATACATACATGTACCAAAAGAGAACGTAGGTTGAACACTTTGCTGACCGTGTTCTCAACCATGAGAATCTCTATGGAAAAAGAGAACGTAGGTTGAACACTTTGCTGACCGTGTTCTCAACCATGAGAATCTCTATGGCAAAAGAGAACGTAGGTTGAACACTTTGCTGACCGTGTTCTCAACCATGAGAATCTCTATGGCAAAAGAGAACGTAGGTTGAACGCTTTGCTGACCGTTCTCAACCCTGAGAATTTCTATGGCAAAAGAGAACGTAGGTTGAACGCTTTGCTGACCGTGTTCTCATCCATGAGAATCTCTATGGCAAAAGAGAACGTAGGTTAAACGCTTTGCTGACCGTTCTCAACCCTGAGAATCTCTATGGCAAAAGAGAACGTAGGTTGAACGCTTTGCTGACCGTGTTCTCAACCATGAGAATCTCTATGGGATCTCTATGTGACGTGTAAGATGGTAAGGGATGTATACGGGATGACTTTGCTGGTCACCACGTGGTGCTCGTCTCACACATGATCTACACCTCCTGGCAATGCATGGCGTTCCAGCCACTCACGTGATACGTGGACACGCTAGCCACTTGTCCAGGATCATAAGGCCACGGGATACATGTACATGTGAACAGCACACGACTGCCCGCACATACACAATGAAGGTTGCTGTTACTTCGCCCATCTGCACCAAGTCCAGCAAATCTCAGGAACTACGTCCAGCAAATCTCAGGATTTTTTTAATCCAGGCCGTCAAACACTGCTACAGGGATAGACTAACACCAGGGCGCGAAATAACGGTCGGACATCGGACAATTTCCGACCGTTTACGGTCAGTTTCCGGATGTTTTGTACATATCCGGACAAAGTGTCCGCGCACCTTTTTGCAAAGTACAAAAAAGAAAAGGCACTTCAATCCTTTGTCTCATAGTCATTAGTGATGTCGTCTGGCAAGAGAAAGCCAAGCACCGCTGATGCGGGTGCTCCTCTCCAGGCTCTTGGAAAGAAGCCCAGAGGAGTCAAGACGACCACTTGTGACAAGTGGGTCGCCGAGTATGATAGGGAGCTTTCAACTTCTGTTTGGCTGAGCTATGAGCGCAGTCCCTCAGATCGTAGCGTTGTCGAAATTTTGAAGTGTAAGATGTGTTCCCGTTTTGTTGATAAAATTCACAGCAGCAAGAATTTTTCTGACTCCTTCGTCGTTGGCTCAAGGAACCTGAAAACGTCAGCCTTCAAAGATCATGCTGCTTCTGAAATGCATCGTTGTGATAACATTTCGATGGTATTAATTCTACACTGAACATTGTGTGATTCGATGTGAAAGTTGCATGTCCGGACATGTCCGGCCATTTTTGCAACTGGCAGGACATTGTGTCAGAGCATATTTTAATCCATAGCGCATGCCCTGTAACACCCTTCAAAAGATATTCAGTTTCAGTCCAGAATCAACGCAACTCACCTCAGACATAGGCCAGCAATCTCCCTGCAAAGATCAAGCACGACTTCCTCAGTACAGCCCTCGACGGACCCCACCAGCATCTCACCGATCGCCTCGTGAACGTCCTCTACCGAGGGCAACGATAAATCAGCTAAGCAGCCTTCAACAAGAATAGGATGAGAAAGAATCACAAGAGACGTTAAAACAGAGAGAGAGAGAGGGGGGGGGGGAGAGGGAGAGGGAGAGAGAGACCACTTCAGCTAGACAGGTAGTTCATTGAGCGAGCAAGCTAGCCACCCACAACAGTAAATACAACTGGCAATACTAGTCAGGAATCGGCCACGGTCACTTGACAGCACACTAAGCCAACATGAATAGGAAACACAGAGGTTCCAGGCTGTCCAACAGAGTGCACAATACCGAGAGGCAGAGCGAGTTCAAACAATAATAAGAGGACGAAAAAAGTGTTTTCTGATAATCGCTTAGTGCATGAATGGGAGTAAAAACACCTTTTTCGTCCTCTTATTATTGTTTGAATAGGTAAGATGATTGTAATGCCCAGAGTACAGACTCCATTCTCCAACAACATTATCATTACACTACAGACTCTGACCGCTATGACTCTTTTCTTATACCCCGAAACAAGAAGCCACTTTCATACTTGCTATGCCCGTGAAAATAGAACGGTGGTGTGGAAGAGACAAATTTCCCCCTAGCGCTACCAAGAACACAATGTCACAACAAGTACAAACGTACAAAACAACAGCACCTGCTTAAAGTTACTCAACACGACTGATCACACAGCATGGGGCTGTGTTCCCAAAAATATGTTAAAGAAAATGCACAAAACAAATTGAATACAAACAAGAACATGATAAGCGACAAACCTACAGGAGGGGAGCGAGAAATGGCAACTAATCTCGCGAGATGTGGGCTTATGACACTGCCAGAGTGTGGGATACCTCATTAGCTGCTTAAAGTACAAGGAACGAGTGATAGATAACTACCACGGCAATACTAGAAGAGTAACGGTGGTGAAGACACACCTGGTGAAATGGTGGTAAACACACGCCTGCCAACACAACGCTCTCTAAACTGCAACGATAGTTCTGACAAAGAGCACTCCTTCTCTCACACCACCATTGGCCAGTGCCTCGTGCCTGGTCTGTGCATGGCTGGTGATACCTGCTACAAGTAAGCTGGCTGGCACAACACCTCTACAGCACTACGGTAGTACCCAGGAAAGTTTCGCTCTCGCCCTAGCTGCTTCTGTGCGAACATTCTCACACACTCCTGTGTACTCAAGCCATGCACATTCAAAAGGGTCTAGTAGGGTGCACATGTCCCTCTCACTTATTATTATCAAGAGTACATAAACCAGAGTGTGCAACTGTGCATATCAGATCTGAAACAGCGCAGTTCGTGCACTACGTCACCCTGATGAGGTCAGCCAAGCCGCGACTTGCTTACAGCTCAAATTTTCATGTTTCATAGCCCGGAAATCAGCCAAGTTTGCTTGATTTTAGACGTCCTGTTTCAGGATTTCGGTGTTTTGTGTGACTGTGTACGCTGCGTACATCCACCGACAAGCAAAGTCACCAGGCTATCCGTATCAAAAAACCGAAATCAGGACAAACTCAGTGAACTGCACCACCGCGACTGGTTACGCAACTTTTCACCGTACCTGTGGCTTACCATGCCGTCAGAAATGACGTAGTGCACGAATTACGCTCCCACAGGAACCATCCCGAGTTGCACACTCTGGTTTATGTACTCTTGTTATTATTTGAACAAACGGCGAGGAGACAACAATTTGATAACCGCAATCAGTAATACAAGCTGGATCGACATTTGTGTACACTGTATTCATGTATTGTAAAACTGTGGAGACAATGTGCAATAAAACGATGAAAATGTGAAGAAATTGTGTAGAGAAATTGTCTCCACAGTTTTACAATACATGAATACAGTGTACACAAATGTCGATCCAGCTTGTATTACTGATTGCGGTTATCAAATTATTATTATTATTATTTCGTAATAAGTATTCGCATGCAACGACGCAAATCCACACAATTCAGTAGACACTTCGAAACTGTTTTCCCACCGCCTCCAAACTACTGTTTAAATTATTATTATTATTATTATTATGGATCAGCACAATCATACTGTTTTTTCCCGATTAAAAGCCGCACTCGATTACAAATCGCACCCCTCTTTTCTGGTTTGAGCCACATTGTTTCAATATACTGTAGTCACATAGGTAGGACGGCACACTTGATTGTAAGTCGCGCCCCCTTCTTTGCCCTTGACGTTGAGCATAAAAGGTGCGACGTACATGTATATTCAGGAAAATACAGTACACGTATTTCCTCGCGTGACTTAGCTATCAGCATTGCACTAGGTGGTCGATATTCACACATGCTCACATGTTACTAATACACATGTACCAGTGTTCATGGTATTGCAGTTTCCAGCTTCCCAGTTACTATTCAATGCGCCTTTCTCTTGATGCCAGGCAAGCCTGAGCAGTGCAGCCCAGCGCCTCAAAGTGAATACTATGGCTGCTGCACAGTACCACCGTTGATATTCCATAGTCCAAAATCACAGTGAGGTTTTATTTATTTATTTATTTCTCAAACTAGTCAAGATTTATTTATTTATTTATTGCATCATCATCTCGTGGCAACCAATGCCAATATTGAATGAGAGAGGGGTGACAGCCAACCACGGCCAAATCAAGCAAGGTTCAAGGTCCGTCATCAGTGTACGTCAGGTACTCTGCCGTATGGGAATTTACACTGCTTAGAATGCCGAGCATGTCAGGTAAGATCTTTACTAGTACGAGTACTCCTGTGCTCGATAACTTCCCTGGCCATTCCAAAAAAAGGACTGAAACACTACTTAAAACGCTGTTCAGAGCTGCATGTGTTCTTCATGAAGTGGAGTAGTACAGTTTATTTGAAAAATCATCCACACGCACACACATACATGCATATACATTATACATACACACGCACACCCGAATACGCACATAGACATGATTGAAAAGTGGCTCCTCAATGTGGATACTGGTACATGCGTGTGTGTGTGTGTGTGTGTGTGTGTGTGTGCGTGTGTGCGTGCGTGTGTGCATGCGTCACCCACTGACCTGATACATATTCCATCAAGTCCTCGTCGATGTTCGGAAACTTCTTTCTAATCAAGGCATCCATAGCGCAAATTCTGCTCGAATGCCAAAATACGAACTGTAAATTACACAGATGACCACCAATGGGCACGGAATCAACTGCGAATTCTGCTGAGAGCTAGCAATTCTAAGATACCGGTAACAATTATTACGAATTATGCCTTCGACTACAATCTTGAATCAAGGGCCGATGGGACGGTCCAGATAAGAGTCTCAATTGTGAATAAGCGGATCCAAAGAAATAAATAAGTTGTGCTAAACTGCTGACGTCTTTCTGGTGCCTTGGCTTAGGTAAGAAAATTCAAGCAAACACTCTTCATTGCAAGACAAAGATGCAATGACTACCATGAGTACCAAACAAAGGCTTTTCGAAAACAAAAAATAATAGTAGTCTGTGAAAAAATTCGCGTCTCGATCGAGCATTTTTCATGCAGGGGAAATGTGGGATCACACCAGGGAGTCGTAAAATACCGGTATTTTACGACTCCCTGGATCACACAGCCAGCACAGTCCGCACTCTGAATTCGATGACGTCATGTCCACAGCTGATTGAGTTCAGACCAGGGAGTCGTAAAAGCCCGGGAGAGGACACGGCACACATTCCCAGAAAACATCTTTGCCTCGCGCTGCCGGGGAACGCTGCCAGGGAACGGTGTTGCGAGGCAAGGAAATTATTATTTTCGAAAATTGTGATGTCTTCTTGAAATACTAATTGGGACATTCTCCGATTTCTCTTAGAGCACGGAGACGATTGCTCCGTCGAGTCTTCTGATCTCTATTTTCATCCTCAATTCTTCCAGCTGCCTCACTCATTCTCTCACAGTTTATCGAAGTTAATTTATTCTGAGGCGATGGAAATGCAAGATAAATCCCTAATTGTACTTCACTTTTATTTGAGTTGGGGTGAACGAAATGAGATTTGTGGAAAATGACGCCACTTCCCGTGTTAGCCGCTGGTCGTATCATACAGCCCATATTCCATTGCAGGTGATGGGCGAACGTTCGTGTTGAGATCCGCTGAGTTTCCTCGTACTCGTGGAGTTGAATTTGTGGCAGAAATTGCACTGAATTGCAGTCAAATGGTTGTGAATGAAACGAGATTTGTGGAAAATGACGCCACTTCCCGTGTTAGCCGCTGGTCGTATCATACAGCCCATATTCCATTGCAGGTGATGGGCGAACGTTCGTGTTGAGATCCGCTGAGTTTCCTCGTACTCGTGGAGTTGAATTTGTGGCAGAAATTGCACTGAATTGCAGTCAAATGGTTGTGAATGAAACGAGATTTGTGGAAAATGACGCCACTTCCCGTGTTAGCCGCTGGTCGTATCATACAGCCCATATTCCATTGCAGGTGATGGGCGAACGTTCGTGTTGAGATCCGCTGAGTTTCCTCGTACTCGTGGAGTTGAATTTGTGGCAGAAATTGCACTGAATTGCAGTCAAATGGTTGTGAATGAAACGAGATTTGTGGAAAATGACGCCACTTCCCGTGTTAGCCGCTGGTCGTATCATACAGCCCATATTCCATTGCAGGTGATGGGCGAACGTTCGTGTTGAGATCCGCTGAGCTTCCTCGTACTCGTGGAGTTGAATTTGTGGCAGAAATTGCACTGAATTGCAGTCAAATGGTTGTGAATGAAACGAGATTTGTGGAAAATGACGCCACTTCCCGTGTTAGCCGCTGGTCGTATCATACAGCCCATATTCCATTGCAGGTGATGGGCGAAAGTTCTTGTGGGGATCCGCTGAGCTTCCTCGGCGTACTCGTGGATTTATGAATTTGTGTCAGAAATTGCACTGAAATTGCAGGGTGGACTTCTGTGCGTGTGTTGTGAGTGAATCGCAACGGCTCCCTTCCTTCAGCATCGTCAAAACGCAACATAGAGCATTATTACGCACTCGTTCCATGATTCATGATAATGCCTAAATTCTTTTAAAAACAATCAATGTGTGTTCCCTATCTATCTACATTGTACATGGTTGCAGGTCGTTATTTATAAATCTTGATAATTTCAACACTTTTCTACTCGTATACTGAGTACGCGGTGACTTGAGCCGTTTAGGAAACGGAAGTCTTGGCGAGTGTACAAAAGGTAAACCTATCATTTGTACTTCATAACGGAATTGTGCACAAAAATGCACACGCACGTGCGCGCGCACACACACAAGCACACACACACAAACACTGTACAAACACACACAAAATTACAGGCACATGTGCACATACACACGCCTCCCCCCCCCCCCCACACACACACACACACACTCAACTCCCCACCCCTGTACCATGTGTACTGAGTCTGACAGACATACAATCATGTTTATCCTTCCTTCGCCACCAGTTTCGGATATTGGTGTCAACAACGAGTTGTAAAATATTGTTATTTTAGGACTCCCTGCCCTGAAGACGAGCACAGCGCCGTGGATCGAGCAGATCCGGCCGCGCCGGCCTAGCGTGCTTCACTTTCTGGCCGAGGCAAACATCGTCCGCGTGCGCGCATCCCGTGTCCTCTCCCGGGCTTTTACGACTCCCTGGTTCAGACCATGTACCATGCATGCATGCGCAGGGACAGTTACCCTGGTTACAGGGGATCCGAGGCGAGAGTCGTCAAATACCGGTACGCGGTACATGTATTTGACGACTCTCTAGATATCCCTGGACCCTGGTCCAGACACGTGTAGTGAAAACAGAACGGGCTAGCCTATCCCATCAAGGCTGCACAACAGGGGTTGGATGTAGCAATGGCAACTGTCATGTGACATACAATGAGTCGTGTGTACTGCATACGCGCACACGCCTTCCGGAATTCCGTTACAGAATCGTATCGTTCAGTTTCTCAAACACAGTTGGACTGGGGTCACAAGGTCGACGATACTCGCGATATCTTTGTGCCTTTTTCGCTCTGAGTCTTGATCTTTGAGTTTTTTCAAGGTTGCACCTGCTGCTGCATACAGGCTTCACTCGTTCTGCCTTGGTTTTAGCATTTTACAAAGCAGAAAAACTAAAGTGAACACTGGTGAACGGTTTTGTCCTTTCAGACATTTGTTTGTTCATGGTTGGATTCGTCGGAAGCTGGTACGATTCCTAGGATAGGATGCCGTGAAGTTTGCAGTCCAATGGAGATCGAGCGGAGAACTATGGCAGTGCCGACTTCATTGGAGAAGGTCGACTGCGACAATGACAGGCCTTCCGGGTCGCTTTCTCTCCTGCCTAATACCATGAATACTGACTCTCCCTACTCATCATCTGTTAGCAACAGCCCTTCTCCGCATCCTCAGATGTCACCAGGTTCGTACGGAAATTTCAGTGTATACAAATAGTTCCTTGGTCAAATTGCTCAATGCGAGTAAGGATTGTTTCTACCCTTGCAGTGCTTACTGCATGTCATTGACTTGTTGTAATCCAAGCAGTGGTGTGCCGCAGCCTCAGACCGCAAAAGAACGAGTTTTGATACGAACCATTTCCAGCCTTCTTGACGATATAACATTGTTCCTGTGAAAACGGCTTCGCTTCCTGACATCTACGCCGGGGCCCTGCAGACTTTAGAACTTACTTGTACTCAAGATTTGTAATACAATAAGTATATTGTACTCTCGGTCGTTGTGTTCAGGATTATGTAACTGACTGTCCTTGTGTTGGCCCTCCTTGCCCAGAGACTACAGCCACCCTGTTGTTTCTCTGCCAAATAGCATTCATTTGTCTTTCGCAATCGCTCGCCATGTGAGCTCAGGCGCCTCCATCTGTTCCCCACACCCTGCGGGTTCGACATACATGTATAATACGCAATTCCATGTTCCATGTAAACTCTTCATGCATATGTCAGTAGTGGAAGGGTTTCGTCAAACAGGGATGCAATCTTAGGCTCAAAATTGCCATGATCTTGAACTGCGTGTGAAAATGATGATCCAGAACCAGGATGGAGTGGCAGGCTCATAAGGTACAGATGGAGAGAAAAGGGCTGAAAAGATGAGCCAATGAACTAGTCAGCAGCCTTAGATATGGTATGCATTTTGTATAATGTAAGGCAGTGGGACTGTTCTTCTAGTGCACCCTACTGGATAGTATTAGTATTACTAACAAGAGCAAGTCACTGGGGATTGGTGCTGCATCCAATGTGAACACTGAAAAAAGGGACCGCAGCCCATATAGACCTGGGTAGCCAATCCCAATTGATTTGTCAAATATTTGGCAATGGCAGTACCCTATGCCAGAGGCATCAATGAATTGTAGCGAAAACGCCAACCAGTGCAACGAGTTGGGGTGACCCGTAGACTCAACATCATAACTGCTGGTGTTACGATGCAGTGAGACTGAGCGAAGAGGCAGTAATAACAAGACCCCAAATCCACTGCCTACAAGAGGCACGTAGCCTGCATGGGGCAAGGGGGCACATGTACCTCCCTGAAATTTTGAACTAGGGTCAGAATGCACATAATGACTGTGAATGACATGCACCAGCTATCCTACACCTATGTGGCCATGCACCTTCCTAAAGGGGAACCAGCTACGCCCCTGCAAGATCAGCTATTGCATGTAGATGTCTCATTGTGTATGTACAGTGGGACATTTAACTGGGGCCTGTCACTTTACAGAGGAATACTGGACTTGCCAGTTGCCCAGTAAATGCCTTGTAAGCGTTGATTACCAATGCCTTTTCGGCCGTCTCACCTGTACGAGATATGTGCTGGTTTTCTGCAGAGAAAGAGTGCCGGCTGGCTCTGCGATGGTTAAAGCACACTGGATTCCCTCACTATGCACAACAATATGAGAGTAAGTGCATTTCAGCTTCTATCTGTGTACCTTGTCTCAATATTGCAATGGCAATCAGTCCTTATGTATTGCCATTGGCAGCACACGTATGATCTAACTCCACTAACACAAGCATGCTTTCATGAAGGAGTTGCAGTACTATCCTTTTTGTGTAATGTTTCACTTCCTAACTGCATTATGATCTCTGCACAATGCACTTGTACTTTGTGGTAAGGGTTACGAACGGTTCCCTTGCCTGGATATGCGGATAAGAGAGCTGTAGTATAACAACAGTCATTGTATGCGTACCTCCACGATATCACAACATGAAACCGTGCAGTGCAGTGTGTCACACACCTCCACATCTATATTATGTATATGTACATGTACTAGCCAGCATAGTGCCATGATTTCAAAACCACAGTGCACAGTAGTGATCATGGTGATGCTCTAAGGGTCCCTTGGCACCTGGCTGTTGCGGTTACGAATCCAGGCACCGGTACCCTTCCCTTCCTTCCATTCCATAGATGTCTACTAATTGCTGTGCATGTTTTGGTGGCATGCATAAAAAAAGTCAGAGGTCTTGCGATCTTATTCGAGGTGTTCTGCATTGAGTGGCATTACAGGCACTGGTTTCACAATCCACACAATGCATGTAATATTATGCTGGTATTACTAAGTATTCCCTGTGTATCTTCATTCTATTGATGGGGTAGTTGCCGTACACCCATTGACTCCGCAGGCATGGGATGCATAGTACTTTTTTCTCTGATGAGTGATGTTGCACTTTCTTGTGATTTGCTCGCGTAGATCAAGAATTTCCCATCGTGATTGACGCGGAAAAGCTGGCGGATGATCATGCCTGGCTGAGGACGTATCCCGATGCACTGCAGACGTTGCTTGAGTAAGTTTCCTGGCCTGCAACAGCAAAAGGTTGTGCTACTAGTATTGTTGAGCGTGCAGTGCTGTCTGGACTTCACATAGTACATAGTAGACCTTTCATACTTTGAACTTTGAAGTACAGTCTGTATCGGCTATAGCGTACCCTTTTGATTTCCGTGATTTTATCACTATAACCGATGCATCACTATATGCGATACGATCGATTTTGATTTTTTTTTTTCGATCGACACATGAAAGGCAAGGAAATACTTCTCAGCATGGCGTTTTGACAAATGAGCATGCTGCATAGTTGACAGTGCTAGTGCCCGCATTTCCATAAAAAAATTCTGTTATGTACATGTACAATCATGCATCACTATAAAAATAAGCAACGTGAAGAAAGTAAAAAATAGGGCCTTTGATATTATTGCTACATGTATTTTAGAGTTATCACTATAGCCGATAATAATATAGTGTGTTATGCATGTTTTGATTCTTTGTTGCCATCATAATATCCGATATATCATTACATCCGATAATATTGGTTATAGTGATATTTGTACTGGATAACATACGTTTTACTTTTGATATTTCGTACCAATATCACTGTAGCCGATATATTCTTATATCCGGTCACTCTATAGCCAATACAGACTGCACTTCAAAAATACCTTTACAATTCACCCACATATAGTGTGTTGCAACCAGCATCTTTTGATGTTTCTCTCCTTTTCCTGTTCTAAGTATTGTTGACACTTCCCCAGCCCATGCCATCAGTTACGTCACCTGTACACATTGTGAGTCAGTATTAGCTTCATTTCGGGCATGTTGGCTGGTCCCCACAGCTGTGCGTTTGCTGTATTGTGTCTGAGCGTGCTAGTGTTTGTGGCATGGTTTCCTGTGTACTTCCTGTAGTCGACTGCAGTTGCTCAACCAATGTGCTCTGGCTGGCATCCGGTGCATTCCAGATGTAAGTCAATGCTGCACATGTACACATACACCCAACCAAGGCAAGGAATGTGCCAAATTTTCAGCTTTGCCCGCATGTCTTCTTGTCTCTCTATCTGTTGCTGTAGTTCACAAGCTGAGCAAACAGAGTTTGAGTCACTGTTTACTAGTTGGCTAGCCTTTACTAGCCAGAGTTCTAGTGTTGATCTCTAAGCAAAATTAACGATGGATTTATGTGTCTACACTCTTGTGCAACACTCATCTCTGCAGCGGGAGGATGATTCTGATGATGAGTCCATTGCAACTACACTCGAGCCTACCAACGTTTCTGATAAGTTGAGAGGTAGCAATATAGCGCCGGCTAGGAAACAAGTCCATTCGAAGCAGCGTCATCACACAGAACCGTCTTTAGGCACGAGTAATATATGCCGCCAGCTACCTGTTACCGATGAAGAGATAGATGAGCAAGATGAGGAGGAGGATGACGGTGACGATGAGAAGGGTTCTACTTCTCGCCGGAGAACCTGCCCTAATCCGCGTGTGAAATTGGGACGTGGAGCCCGTGTCACATCGAGACCCAAAGCAGCCTACTGTCGTCAAGCATCGATTATCTCGGAGGATGATAGGCCTGACTCTGGTCCGTCGTCGTTAGTAGACGGCACCCAGCTCAAGGAAGAAGAGCTGTGCTTGGTCGAGGACTCATCCGACGCCTCCACAATGCGTGAGTCGGAGCATGGGTGCCTTGTGTTTTGTGAGTGTGTTGCTAAGCAAGCGCTTGAGCTCAATTACGGTGCGTTTCAGTGCGTTTTAAAAGTATTTCCGTCTGTTTCAAAAACAACAGTTAGGCCGACATCTATACCATGTAGAACCTGTGGTCACCTTGAGCATTAAATTTGAAAGAAAGAGAATGGCGTTTGTTTTCCTTTCGCTTATAAATGCATGTCAGGAAAATTACAATTCTTGTCTGATCACTGTAAAAAAAAAGTAAAGTTCGCACGTCCACGTTACAACCGGCTATACAATTGCGTTGAGAACACAATCAGCTTAGGAAGTTTCGCTCGTGCCAGGCCACCACCGTGCCTGTGATACCAGGGTGGAAGATGCAGAGCCTAACGGCGAGGGTGAGGTGGTACCTCTCACAACCAATGCCCGACAGGGGGGCGAACCTCGTTAGCTGCATCCATGTTAGGGCCTGGTCAGACTGCGGCAAATTTTCGGTGCCTGACGAAAAAAGAAAAGCGTCCAGAATTTGAATCGCGATCACACTACACATGTGGGGAAAATGAAAATTCAAACTTCATTTCGAGCGTCAAGTGGTAATCTCCACGAACGACGTCAAATTCCTTCACCTTGGGGATCGCCAACACCTTCAGTGCAATCCTTGCAACCATCCTTATGGGTTTTGTTGTTGTCCGTGGCCAATTAGCTCCTCGATATTGAGATGAAAAAATCGGTGAATATCAGCGTCAATGGTGTATCAGCGTCAAAATCCTGTTTGGAGCGGAAAAGCGTGGTCCGTTCTTCCCTTTGTTTGGAGCGTCAACTCTCGCTTTTGCCGCTCTGGCGGCAAGTTACTATGGAGATTCAGATTATAATCCCAGGATTATTTCGATTTTGCCGCAGTCTGACCAGGCCCTTACCCTCACTCCGAGTAGTGAGTACCCAGTTGCCCGTGGGTGCTGGCGCAGTTCCTTGCATGTATAGTGGTTCACGCATGCATCACCGCCTTTTTTAGCACAGTATACGCTCCCTGCTCCCAGCGCGGGTCTCGAACTCAGGACCTTGTGATTCGCAGGCAAGCCCACAACCACTCGGCCAAAGCGCCGGTCTGATCACTGTCCTGAAGAAAAAATATCAACCCCAATTGTAGGGCATACTAGTACATGTATTGTATATGCAAGCTAGGTGAGGTATACTTGCCCCTGTGTCCACTTGCAGGAGGTGATGGTTATGACCAGTAGGTAGTCATAGCATATAGGGAGACAACATACAGGTGGCTGTAGTGATAAATCATGTGAGTTTGGACGCCCGGGCTGCCAGTTGCAGCCGCCCCTGGGGCAGCGCCAATTCGTACACGCTCGCATAATTATTGCATTGCTTGTCTGGGCCGCGTTTGGATTACAGCAGGTCAAGATCGCGCGTTGCAAAGACCACGGATCATGTAGAACTTCCAAATCAGGGTGGAAAGTTCTCGAAATGCACATCGTTTAGGATATTATGATCTCGTGTTGTCTCCCTATATGCTACGACTCCTGGTGTCCAGTTATGCACTGAAGCCACAAACATTTGGTAAGCTTGGTGTGGAAGGCAGAGCTTGTCTTCAGCTATAAGGAGTTTTGGGACGAATGTTCTTTATGAGGAAAGAATCCTTCTGTTTCAAACGAACGAATGTTCCAACCTTCTATTGAAGTGCAGCATACAAAGTTGTCCTCCGCGATACATATAGACATTGTCACATAGGCCAAAAAATTACAAAGCACCCGCAAGCCAGGATATTCAAGATACCGCCCGAGTGTGCCTCAGATCAAGGACCAATGTGTGATACTCTAATTTCAGAAGTTTTAGATCCTCAATATTTTCGGTATGAGGGCAAAAGGCCAGGTTAGGTGAACAGAAAATTTAGGTGCAGAGTAGCAGTTCCCTATTGGACTATGTGTGTTAGTGTTTGTTCGGTGTATTGGAATTTTAGGCATGAAACAGGCGCACCGAAAGTACCACAAATAAAGTACACTGAAAATTTGTGAAATTACAGTATGCAAAATTTATTGCATGTCACGTGAGGGTTGCCTGTACTACAGCCAATGAGCGCTCTTGCTCAGCGGTCTGTATTTCTCGGTATTGCCCGGCAAGTTATTGCCCGCTCAGTTACATGTACGCGCATGCGGACTGTCATTCTTGTACTTTGTGGTTCGTGATCAGATCAAGTTGCTACAGTTCGGAGTTTCAAATTTGAAACACAAAACAGCAACTAACTTGATCTGACTACAAACTACAAAGCACGAGAATGACAGACCACATGCGCGCGCATGTAACTGAGCTGACAATAACTTACTTGTTCCACCCACCTGAACCAGCCGCTTCAGCAGGTGAATGCAACCTTGACATCGATATCGATGCGTTGATGAGCAGCCAACGAACTTGACGAACTGAATGCGTTCGAGACGAAGTGTGGAGCCCATCCCAGTTTCAGTTCCTGTTCCTACACGCAGTGCTCAATCACGAACAACAACACCATCGATATCGTAAAGAAATAGAGAATTTCAAAACCACAAACGACGTTTACCACTGAACAAGTGCATCGGGAGACTGAGAAAGTCGGAAAGGTTTCTCTCCATTTTCTGGAATGTTTGGGTCAAGCATGCAATAAATGATTTACTGCGCCTCGTACGCACTCGTACACGGGCAATACCGGCTTGATACATGACCTCACAGCTGGCGCCGCTCGGTCATGTATCAGCCGGTATTGCCCTTGTACTCGTGCAGTAAATCATACGTACGCGACTTCGACCAGAGCGCACAGCTACAGGCGCGTACAAGTGCAGTGTGTACAAGTAAAATATGTACACGAAGGTTCTTTTGAATTGAGCTCCTTCTTTTGAATTCGAAAACGAAGATCATTCGAACCATCGAACCTTCTTCCCAACACTAGTTGTAGGCGATGGTCCGATTTTAGGGAAAGCGGTGTTTTGCCACTGTAAAGTAGAATAGCAAACCTGTCCAACATGGCTGAGAAGGCAGGCCGGTCACACTCCTGGTGATGGGACTCTTCAACCACTGCAAACTGCATAGACATGTGGTTCGTATGGACAGATTTGAATGGTTACTGTTGAAGCAAGGTCTGTTGGCAGAGTTGTCTGTACTCTGAGGGCATGGTGACAGATGTGCTGTGTTAACCACAGAATACTTACTTGTGAGTTTGTGGTCCATATATGTACCTCACAGCTCAAGTGGATATGGGTAGCTTCGGTGAAGTAGGTGTCATCTTGCACCACAAGCAGGCTAACTCATTGGTCGAGGAAGAGGAAGTCGATGAGGATGGCGAGGAAACGGAAGGGACGGGAACTGAAGAGCTGACTGTCACAACAAGGTGTGTGTGTATAGGAATTCCCTATTTACATGTATACTGAGAGTGAGGTCCATGGATCTTTGAGTGGATGTGTGACTGAATTGCACATATCCTGAACCTCTACTGCCTGGTTTCCACCAAGCATGTCAGCAAATTAATTTGAAGTTTCCGTGAAAATGTGGACGCTCAGCATGCCGTGCGCCATTGCTTCTCTTTACTACATTTTGTTGCATGTGCTACACATGAGTTGTATGTGTTGCTTGTAATTATCATGCACAGTCATCTAGTGCCTTGCTATGCCATCGCATGACACTCCATCCATGTACGGCTTACCTGCACATGACACGCGTTCATAATCAACCAACATATGTGGTCTAGCTTGTCATCGTATTGTACACATCCGATTCTGGATCCTTCTATCTTCTTCTACTGCTTCTAGCACCTTCCGTCCAGTTCTGATAATCTGGAGTGATTTGCATTTCTTTGTTCTTGTTGTTTATGTTCACAAGCAGTGAAGTCAAAATAGAGTGCTCTCGCATGTTGGGTGTGTGCTCGAAATAAGTAACAAAGTTCAAGGATCGAACTTTACATGGTGTCAGAATAATGTCAACCCGCACAGCCCCGGCCCCTGACCGCTTCGACTTTTCTGCCCCGCAAAAATGGCCTCTGTGGCGAGAACGATTCTCGACCTACCGCCTTGCTACCAAGCTTCACAAGGAAGATGGTGAGGTCCAGGTAGCAGCTCTGAAATATGCGTTGGGTCCGGACGCTGAGCCTGTGTTCCTCCAGCTTCAGTTTGACGCAGATGCTGATTAGAAAGACTTCGACAAAGTGCTCAAGAAGTTTGGTGACTATTTCACCCCGAAGACGAACCTATTCCACGAGCGGATGGTGTTCGAGCGTGCAGCGCAGCGTCCAGGTGAGACGGTGGAAGAGTTTCTCCATCGTCGGCACGTGATAGCTGAGACATGCGAGTTCGAAAATAACAAATCCGATCGCATTCGTGACCGTTTCGTTGCCACCTTGCTAGATGAGAAATTAGCAACGGACTTGCAGCTGACGGACAATCTGACCTTGGAAAAGGCTACAGAGAAAGCTCGCGGGTGCGAGCTCGTCCGCCAGCAAGTCGCCTCACAGCGCGGCCATGCCAGTGCTACACCTGCGTCAGCCACTGTCGCTGGTGCTTCTGCTGCTCCTCGTAAGAGCGCAGGATCGTTCAAGAGTAAGTCTGATGGACCTGCCGGCAGTCAGTCTCACAATCTCTGCATGTTTTGTGGTGGTAAGTCCCATACCCGCGACCGCTGTCCTGCTCGGGATGTTATCTGCCGCAGCTGCTCCAAGAAAAGCCATTACGCCCGTGTGTCGCTCATCCAAGAAGGGGTCACACTCATCTTCCAGGCAATCCAGTAGCTCTGGTGCACATTCTCTGGCCACACAGGACGATCCGGGTGTGACTGAGGATTGGGCCTACTTGGATTTAGATAGTATCGCATCAGGCAGCTGTCCATGGATGTGTGATCTGCTGTTGTATGGGAAGTCCGTACCGTTCAAGATTGACACTGGAGCGGATATCACTGTGATTACTCTAGCAACATACGAATCCATCAAGTCACCACCGCCTCTGAGCTCTCCTACAACACGGTTGACAGGAGCCAATGGTGATCGCATCGACTGCAAAGGCACATTCAGCGCAACTTTGTCCAGCCCAAAGCTCAGTTCCTCGCAGCACCAGCTGGAGATTCACGTTCTGACACGGGGCAAGTCCAACCTCCTGAGTCGCGAAGCCTCACTAGCAATGGGTTTTGTGTTCAAAGGCATCTCAGAAGCGAAGCAGCCACCACTTGGACGCATGCTGGGTGAGCCCGTCAAGATTGCTCTGAGGCCTGATGCCGTTCCGTACCAGTGCTCAACAGCTCGTCGCGTTCCGATTCCGATCCTGCCGAAGGTCAAAGCAGAGCTTGTCCGCATGGAAGCTGCCGATGTCATTACAAAGATCACAGAGCCTACGGACAGGTACGCACCCATGGTGCCCGTTGCCAAAAAGAACGGCGACGTCCGGATATGCGTAGATCTGCGACGTCTGAATGCTTCGGTCAAGCGCGAAACCTTCATCCTGCCCACCGTCAACGAGACATTGGCAAAGCTGAGTGGCGCAACATGCTTCACCACCCTGGATGCAGCGAAAGGTTTCTGGCAGGTGCCTCTTGATGCTGAAACAGCTAAGCTCACCACGTTCATCACGCCATTTGGACGTTACTACTTCCGCCGGCTTCCGTTTGGCATAACATCGGCGCCAGAAATATTCCAGCGCAAGTTAATGCAATACCTGGATGGCCTTCCAGGGCTGTGCGTCTTCATGGACGACATCCTGGTCTTTGGTGCGACGGTCGAGGAGCACGATGCTACCTTGGAGAAGGTCCGATCAATCCTGCGCAATGTTGGTGTCGCCCTTAACCCCGACAAGGAACATGTTCGCCAATCGTCAGTTGAGTTCTTGGGCCATGTCGTCTCCGCTGATGGAGTCAGCCCCAGTCAGCAGCGCCTCGCCGCTATCTACGAGCTCCAGGCACCAGCCGATCTCCAGGCACCAGCCGATCTCCAGGCACCAGCCGATCTCCCTGCGCTACGTCGCGTGCTGGGTATATTTAATTATCTCAGCAAATTTCTGCCGGAAATGGCCACCGTCTCTCAGCCGCTCCGATTGCTCCTCCACGCTGACACGGTCTGGTGTTGGGATGCTCCCAAGAAGAAGCTTTCCAACGACTCAAACAACTCGCTAGCCAGTCTCCTTGCCTAGCATTCTACGACGTCTCTAAGCCAACTCTTCTGCGAGTTGATGCCAGTGGCTATGGTCTGGGAGCTGTTCTCCTCCAGCAGCAGTCAGCTGGCTGGCAACCTGTCGCGTACGCCTCCCGATCTCTCAGCGACGCCGAGCGCAACTATGCGCAGATTGAAAAAGAATTTCTAGCCATCGTCTGGGGATGTGAGTACTTCGCCCAGTATCTCGTTGGTAGCAAGCCATTCACGGTGCATACTGACCATAAGCCCTTGGTTCCCCTGGTAAACAGCCGTGATCTAGATCGAGTGCCACTTTGTTGCCAGCGTCTGCTACTTCGACAGGCTCGTTTCGACGTCACTGCCGAACATGTCCCCGGCGGTGATCTTGTTGTGGCCGATGCTCTCTCTCGAGCACCACTACCTACCACCGTCTCTACCTCGTCTTTTCTCAGTGACGAGATCGCTTCTCTTGCCGATTCAGCTGGCGAAGAGTACATGTCGTCTGGATTCTCGCTTGCCCTACGAGATGCCACCCAGGCTGACCGCGTCCTGCAGCAAGTTGCTAAATTTGTTCAGTCTGGCTGGCCTGATCACAGCAAGGACGTCCCTGCTGACATCCTCCCATACTTTGCCGCCCGCCAGCATCTCTCTGTTGCCAACGGTCGTATCTTCTATGGTGCACGGGTGGTTGTGCCTGCATCTCTGCGTGATATGGTCATCCGCAAGTTGCACACGTCTGCTCATCACGGTATCGTCAAGTGCCAGGCGCAGGCCCGCCAATCTGTCTGGAGGCCGTCCTGGAAGAATGTCGCTTCTGCTGTTACGCAATGTCGCACATGCTGCCAGCAACTGTAGCCAACCTCCGGAACCTCTCCGACCGACTGAGTTTCCTTCACTCCCGTGGCAGCGAGTTGGTTCTGACCTGTGTCAATTCGGTAACACAACATACCTGGTGGTTGTCGACTACTACTCGCGCTATGTTGAAGCCTTGCCTCTCCGTTCCACCACGTCTGCCTCTGTCATCACTGCTATGAAAGCCATCTTCGCCCGGCACGGTGTGCCTGAGACTCTCGTCACGGACAATGGGCCGCAGTATGCAAGTGATGAGTTCGCCCGGTTTAGCTGTCAATGGAACTTTGATCATGTGACGAGCTCGCCGCATCACCCGCAAAGCAAGGGGAAGCAGAGCATGCAGTGCGCACTATCAAGCAGCTTCTAGCGAAGTCGGACGACTTCCAACTGGCTCTCCTCACCTACCGTAGCACGCCACTTCAGAGCGGGTTCTCGCCATCACAGTTACTGATGTGCCGCAGCCTCCGTGGTACGCTACCGGTGGAACCCTCCACTCTCCTGCCGACGCTCCCTGCAGGTGAGAAGCTGAGGGAGTGGGAGCAACATCGCCGAGCACAGTCAAAGGATAACTTTGATACACGTCACCGGACCAAACCTCTCCAGCCCCTGCAGCCTGGTGATGCCGTGTGGATTGCAGATCAGCAGAGAGAAGGACTGTTAAGTCATCGCTGTCTGATCGGTCTCTGCTGATTGCAGTACCCAGCGGCACGATCCATCGCAACCGGCATCAGCTGCGTTTCCTGCCCGCTAGCCCACCGGAGTCTGTTGAGATTCCCAATAGTCCTCCGGCACCCGGCCGGCCGCAGCGTGCCCGACATGCCCCCAGTCGCCTCATTGAAGAGATTTGACTGTCTCTCCGTCTCTCTCAGAGTTATCATGCGATTTCTTGCAAGTTTGTCGCAGCTGTTTTTCTGTCGATATTATCGTGCTTTGTTCTTTTGAGTATTCCTCCGATTTCTTTCCTAAGGGGGGAGATGTTGTATGTGTTGCTTGTAATTCTCATGCACAGTCATCTTGTGCCTTGCTATGCCATCGCATGACACTCCATCCATGTACGGCTTACCTGCACATGACACGTGTTCATAATCAACCAACCTATGTGGTCTAGCTTGTCATCGTATTGTACACATCCGGTTCTGGATCCTTCTATCTTCTTCTACTGCTTCTAGCACCTTCCGTCCAGTTCTGATAATCTGGAGTGATTTGCATTTCTTTGTTCTTATTGTTTATGTTCACAAGAAGTGAAGTCAAAATAGAGTGCTCTCGCATGTTGGGTGGGTGTGCTCGAAATAAGTAACAAAGTTCAAGGATCGAACTTTACACATTTTTCCGTCTTGGGCCCATTGGAAACTTGCCACTGAGAGCAGCACATACGTGCCAGATTCAATGCAGCTGATTCAGAAAACAGCTCACTGGGGCCAGGAATAGGACGAAGTAGTCTCCCAGCCCCACCCCCATAATGATTGCAATCAAGGACGCATTTTTGAATTTTCCAAAATCAAGAAGTCTCACCCCAAGATCCCGTTGACCAGTTTTGTCGTAGCTCATCGACGATTAACCTAAAGAGGTTTCAATTTTCAGTACCACAATGGGCCTTTCAACTATGAATATGAATATGGACAAGAACGGCTGGAGGGTTTCACCATCTACATGTAATCATACTAAAAAGTGAGATTTACTGCTGAAGTATGTAGTAGTCCACTTCAGAACAGGGTTGTTTGTGCTTGTGAGGATTACTGATGCATGAACTGACTCAGAATGTCTGCTGATAGGCAATACCAAGAGTAGATAAACAAGAGTGTGCAACTCCAAATCTCTCCTGCATAATCTGCAGATACCCCCGCCCTAGGCGGAATTTTTTGTTGACGTCATAATTTTTCAGAAGAACGCGCATTTTGCCGCAGAGCAGTGTGAGCGCTCGTGCTGGGCACCGGCCTTGTAGTGTAAAGCCGGCCAAGAGCACGAGGGAAAACTTTCCGAAAGACTCGCAGCGCGTGCGTTGTCGAAAAGATTACGTCAACAAAAAATTCCGCCGTGGGCCTACCCATCCGCGAGTTCCACACTCTTGTTTATCTACTCTTGGCGATACTGCTCTAATACTAATTTCCTTGGGCACAATGGTGTCCTGTCCTGTTTCTGTGTTGTAACCATGCAGTAATAGAAGACAACGGTGGCACAGCTTTACCAATCGTCATATGCCAACCATCGCACAGGACCAGTGAGTGGAGCTGATAGCTTTCATACAAACTGTTCTCTCTCTCTCCTCTCTCTCTCTCTCTCCCTCTCTCTCTCTCCTCTCTCTCTCTCTCTCTCCTCTTTCTCTCTCTCTCTCTCTCCTCTTTCTCTCTCTCTCTCTCCGCCTACCTACCTGTCTGCTTATCTTTAGTTTGCCATAATCGTGTTTTCGAATCGCAGGCAAGTTTCTCCAGTGAGCAAACGAAAATGACTTGATTTTGATATGCATCATGTTCCATTGCTATTGTTGATATGCATCATGTTCCATTGCTATTGTTGATATGTTGCTTTGTCTACTGTCAAACTGCTCATCTGGGCAGGTAGAACTCTTTTTTTTGACGTTAAACCAGCATGAATTTGCAAGGAAACTTGTAGCGATCAGTGTTTCATGTCAAAAAAGAGGAGGCAAAAGATCCATGATGAAATTCACAAGCATTCACAATGGCATTACAGTACATGTAAGAAAAGAAGAATGTGTAGACACACTTAATTAATTGCCGTATATGTATGTGTTTGCCCATGTGCGTGTGTGTATGTGTGTGTGTGTGTGTATGTGTGTGTGTGTTTGTTCGTTTCCTCTATCTCGTTGACATCGTTGCTGTCAATCTTGAACGTAAATGCACCGCGTGTTGCATCTGCTGACCTGACTGTGTAAGTGTGCAACACGGTGTTGCCTGCATGACAGAGTTGTGCAATCTTCTTCTGCTTCACCTGCACCTGCTAAGTTTTCTTGGCGGTCTGTTCAAGCTATCCTGTGCATTCTTGTTGTGAGCTGATTGTGTAAACGGTGCTTCGAGGTTTGTGGTGAAAGTAGCGTGTAAAGTTGACTGTTTATGTAAACTAGACTCGGGAGGAGAGCCAAGGATTAATTTATAAGAAAAAAGGACCAAAGAGCTACAAGTTACGCTATAATTATCCACTAACACCACCTGTTACTTTACAATCAGCTCACGCGATAACATTGCACGGCTTGACCAAGTTTATGTCAACTGTATGACTTGCTGCAGCTCCTCACTGACAATCAGCGTGCAGAAACCACCGAATAACCTTACCTGCAGCCTGACTGTCAGCCGGATGCAAATGGTGCAGCATATGTCACTGCTCAAGCTCACGTCGCAGTTGGAGTGCTACATCACCCCACAACTGCCCAAAAGTAAACGGCAAAAGTAAGTGCGGCGGCATATGCCACGCCCGTTGCTTGCTGCATTGTGTGAGCACGTGCGACAGTAACGTTAATTCACATAATGCGTGTGAATGTGTGCGATGGGTGCATCCGAACTATCTGGGTATGCTTGCCTACTCTACATCCCACACATGTGTCTATGCGTACAGTATCCTACCCTAACCATGACTCATATTGGCATATTGGATGTAGTGTAGGCCATTTTTCCTTTCCCCGCATCTGCTTTTCCGCTGTCCACATTGGCTGCTATTTCAACGGCTGCCAGTAGTTTGTGCAGATGCGTCTAAGTTTCACCTCATGTACATGCACTGTTGCCCCTCAGGATCATCAGTTATTTAGACTACACGAGAAAGAAGACGTTTGACTATGACAGGACTGGTAAGCCATTGGAAATCTATGGTTCACTTGTGCAATAACTACATTGTATAGCTTTGTGTGCCGCCGCATCAAGAGTCACGCCATTGTTAACTGCCAAATGAAAGAGTTGTTTGTGTTACATTCCCGTCTTCACCCTAAGAAATGTCACGGTGCAGTTTGATCTGCTGTTGTTATTGTTGCTGTTGTTGTTGTTGTTGTTGTTCAAATCTTTATCCTCACAATGGTTAGTGGCCAATAAGCGATAAAAAGTATGCGAGAGGAGAAATAGCGAGGCAAAGTTGAGTTGACAGGGGTTAACGTCTACTTGAGTGTGTGGGCAGGAGTGTGCGCTATAAGAGCATACAGTCCAACAGAATTATGGAGCAAAAGTATTTTCTGGGATTTCAACAGATTACGAGAAGGGATAGGGACAGCGACCTGTCTGCAGAGTTGGCAAGTGTCAAGTACGAGATGTTGCTGTGGCCATTGTTGTTATTTGCTGCAGCAACATTATTTGGAGTTCCGCTGGACGTCCTAACAAGACGCCATGGTCACCCACTACCACGGCACATCATGTTTGCTTTAGACTATATCCTATGTAGAGGTCAGTGAACACTGCTGCCGGATGCACTGAATGCTGCAACGTCTTTGCTCGAGCACAACCTTTACTGCCGTTTTATGACACGCTGTTGCCTGCTCAACATGCCTGATGGTGATCTAACATGTGTGTGCAAGTCCTTGTCGTGTTGTGAAGCATGTGAGAGCATTCCTGGCTATCCATGTGTATGTTCATACTTCAAAATATCTACAGTAGGGTGGACTCTCTTGCATATACATTGTATGTACAGGCACCCGGGCAACCAAACCAGAAGGCGTCTGCATTACAGAGTCCAATGCAATGTTGATTGAAAGCAATCGGAAGCATTGTCTGGCTGTGGAATGATGTCCATTTTGAGGAGGTATCCACAACAGCAATATTCTACAGTGTACAGAAAACTTAAAGAGTGTACTGTATGTACTGTTATTCTTGTCTGATATCCTGCTTTGCTTTCCTGACCACTTTTCTGTGCTGGCATAGGGATTGAAACGCATGGTCTGTTTCGAGTTGCCGGCTCTTCCAAACGAATCCGAGAGTTCAAGAAGAAGGCAAGCACATCGGAGGATCCCATTGATTTTTCTGAGATTCCAATGCCAGACATTGCCTGCCTGGTCAAGGAGTATTTCCGTGATATACCGGGCCGGCTGTTCACGCCAAAAATGACAGAAGTGATCATTTTGATCGGTGCTTGTAAGTGACAATACAGTCACTCAGCGGTGGTGTTACTGCTGCTGTGGACGTGTGTGTTTGCGTGTGTGTGTGTTGCGTTTGGGTGCGTGTGTGTGGTTGTGTGTTCATGTGTGCATGTGTGCGCACTAGAAAGTAGTACAATGGAATGGATCCTTAGTATGACATGCCGTCTTGGGGACCGGGGATATGTACAATCATGTACTTTGTTGAGAAGCTACACCTGGGAGCGTTTTTTCCAGCCATGCTGCTACCCACAGTCAACTGGGAACTTGTGGCCAGGCGCAAAGGGTACATGGATGCGGCTAGTGGGGTTTCTCGGCACTTGTGCAAGTGGTTGTGAGACTTTTCCCCTCGTCCCCATAGTTAGGCTCTGCTTCTGCCGCTAGGGTTTACCGGGTGTTAGCGGCCGTCGTGAGTTCCCTTCGGGAGCAGATACGATTATTCTGTATTTCAATAGCAAGTGTCGGTCTTATTCGGGTGTGTGCTGCATGAGTTTCAGGACGACCATGCGTGTGTTAGGAATGCTTTCAACTATTTGAGTGGGTTTGAACCGATTCAAATCCAGTCTGCTGCTCTGTGCTACGTGTACAACTAGATGCATGTGGAAATTAAGCTGTGGCTTCATCTGGTCTTGTTTGCCCGCAGCGAAGCGGCAATGGGCCCAGCTGATTTCATTTTGTGTCCTGTGTCCTGCTCTTCTGATCACTGTGCTTTCAGTTGTGCCTGAAGAGTTGCAGATACAGGCGTTTCAGCACATCATGCTGCTGCTGCCTGATGAGCACAGAGAAACAATTTTCTGCATCCTGTCCTTTCTGCGTAACATCTCTGAACATCATGCTCAGACGAAGGTCAGTGGAGAGCGTAGTCTTTACACAGCTTGCATCCGATAACACATAATTAACGCACTCTCCACATACAGGCATGCACCCGGCTCAGAACACATTGTTTTCTGGTTGGCATATCAGGGATATTGGGCGGAGCAGCTGGCGTGCATGAGAAAGACAGGTCGGCCTGCTCTGCGCAGGAGCTGTGACCCGGTGCACACATAGTGTGTGTGAGAGAGAGACAGACAGGTCGGCCTGCTCTGCGCAGGAGCTGTGACCTGGAGCACACAGAGTGTGAACGAGAGACGGTCGGCCTGCCGTGGGCAGGAGCTGCGACCGGTAGTGATTGAAATGAGCCAGCTGCGGAGATAGACTGCCCTCACCCGATATAAGTATATTGACAAGAGTTGTACTGACACTGTTATTGAGGAAATTATGGTGACAGTGACGGAGAGATAGTGATCCCCAGTCGAATGGGGTTGGGAGGGAAGGGGAAATTGACACTGACGGACAAACCAGTGAACAGTCAAGTCGTCAGAAAGCAAAAGTGACAAAGGAGTCTCTCTTTTCTCCTTCTCTCTCTCTAAAGCAAGATTTGGAATGCATGCGTGGGAGAGTGGCGCGCGCTGCGCATGCGCATGTATAGCAATGACATCATAATCAGATGCATGATCATCAGACTAAGTATGAGTGGTAGATGTTCCACGTTCGTTAACAGGGCTTAGCGCACACGCTAAACCACCACTAACATGATCGATGACGGGAAGGTAGCAGAATTACAACCATGTTGTTCTCTGTGGCATAACATCTTTTCAGCGTCCAACTTAGCTCATGTAGCATGCCTGTGTTGGTTGTTTGCAGGCATTAGTCTGCAGTGCTTATTGTTGCGTACCATCTGCTGTGAAATCATGTCTTGTGTTATTATTTGATGGTATGCCCAGATGGACGTCCACAACTTGGCAGTGGTGTTTGCGCCAACCCTGTTCCACCTAACGGCGGCGGGTGATGTGTCAAACGGTCACACGAGTCCAACAGCGTCTCGTAAACTCAGCAAGTCCAAGAAGAAGGCAGATTATGATGAGAGCTCTGTGAGTAAAAAGAAATAGCTTACATTGTGTGGTTCATGACACTGGGGGAGGGGTGTCTTGTGTTACTGTCTGGAAGCTGAGTTTCTCGCCTTTTCAAGTGTGGTCGCACCCACTGCTCCGGTCTTCACCCGGCTGACTTATGATTGCAGGTCGCAGCCAATATTAAAGAGGGCCGACGAACCCCCTTTTAACTTCCCACCTACATTCTAACCAAGCAGAAGCATAGTCAGCTCACGTATCTAAAGTAAAGGGCTGCAAATCTCTCACTCATAATCATATTACGGAGCAATCATCCATCCAACTTTGAGTAGCCATCATGGCACTGGTCTGGCCAACTTTTCTTTGTCTCTATTGTCTCACAGTGTAGGTGCAGTTCTTGGTGATAGTATTCTTTGTTGTTTTTGTTGTCGTTTTTGTTTCAAATCGTTATTCTCGCGATGGCCAATCACCAATAAGAGGTTGTTGTTTTTGTTGTCGTTGCTGTTGTTGTTGTTGTTGCTGCTGCTGCTGCTGTTGTTGTTGTTGCTGCGGTTGCTGTTGCTGTTGTGCCTGTCATTGCCATAACTTCTGTTCATTTTCTGTGTGATGCTAATTTCTTGCATTCGTATCATGTCCACAGAACGCCATCAGCACTTTGGAGATGATGATCACGAATGTGGACCACCTACAGCGGGTGAGTCTCCATAACAGACACCAGGCCCAGCGGAACCGGTCCGGTTGGTCAGGTTATACCGGACAACATTTTCAGCCACCAACACATGTTTCCTGCTGTGGAGGGTATGTGTACCCGCGATACCATACACAAACTGTATGAACGGCCATGATGCTACCGGACCAATCAAAAACTGCTTCCGGCGGTCCTGGACACCATCTTCTATCACAGAGCACAGTTGGGTGATTGACACTCTCCCTGTCCGACTTTGCTCATTAGTTAGAGCTAGTGTGGCTTCAAGAGAGTGGTAACTGTGGCTGCTTTCTCTGCACATTTGCTCAATAGTCAATACCAATGTTGTATTCTGTATGAGGGTCAGATCCTTGTACTCGTAGTTTGTGCGCTGGTAGACAGTCCAGTTTCAGTTGGCAGACAAACTGTCTGATTGACTATCTTTCCAATTCAATGTCTCCTTAGTACCAACATATTTTCAGCCATTCACTGGTTTGATTTGAAACTTAACCTCGGTTGTTGCCTGGCATTACTGGGCAAATACCTAACAATGGTAGGAGCAGTGGCAGCTGCTTTTTTTCATTTACTGATTGAACAAATACTGACTGTGTCCATCCGACCCCGTAATGTGTATTCCTGTCTATCCTTGTGCCTCTCTTCCCAGGTCCCCATGGACACGCTTATGATCAGCTTACACACATCGACAAATCCTCTGGATTTCACTGAGGCAGCTCACATCTCAGAACTGGGCAAGGATGCCGATGGCGTGGGTGACTATGTGAACTACGTCGAGTTTTGCTTCCAGGGAATGCTCAAGGTCAGTGGCGTTTTATTGCGGCAGAGTCTAGCCGGGGGCACATCTGGAGAGTTGTGTCTGTCTCTCTGTCTGTGTGCATGGAGGGAGGGGGTCTCTTCGCAACTTTGAAATTGACTGCCATATGTGTCGTTTATGACAGTGGAAAGCTTTTGCGATGCAAAGGTGTCATCATGCACAATGCATCTTTGTATGCAGTCAAGTGAATTCATGAAAAATGAGGTACATACATTGTAATTCTGAAAAAGTAGTGACAGTCTACATGTACCGTAAAATCCTGCCAGAGCGCCCCGTCTCTCCTATCCGCCCCTCCCTGACTTCTTGTCAGGGACGTGATTGATTGTATCCTCGTATGACTCTATCACAGTCTGTGCTGCCGTACTGTACTGCAGACGCGTGCTCGCCCCCGTTGGAAATGTACGCAACAGTGCCCACCCTCTTGACCAGGGATCGCACAAACCCTGAGTTTTGACGGGTCTGTACGACTCCTGGCTCTTGACCTTTGGTCGGTGTACGAGATGCACGAACAGTTTTCGTAGGGTGAGTACTTTTTCATGTAGCACTGAATGCGGCAAGTAGGACTCGCCCATCCGCCCCTCCCCACCTGAAGCGTCGAGGAGGTAGGGGTAGGCACTTCAGCCGGTTTTTTCCAGTCAGGTTTCTCCCAGGTTTAGCATCGTAAATCGACAGTGGTGGATATCACAAGGTCACACACAAAATTTCATTGAAATCCACAAAGACACAAGTGAGATATGAAGGGTTGAAGAGAGGCAATTGCATAAGGCGAAAACAATACAATTTGTGGTATCAACAGCATCTCCAAAGTGTTATCAGTGGATATAGTCGCAAAACTTCAGAGTGGCATTTTCGAACACACGGCTCTCACAAACACCAACAAGTGTTTATGGATGAACAAAATACTAATCAAAGTTCACAATAGTCCAGAATACGGCAATTGTTACCACAATCACCATAGCAACCCCATAGCAACCCATAGTAACCCATGGCAACCCCATAGTAACAGCTTCGGTTTGCTGTGAAATTAGCTAATATCGACATAGAGTTCACCAGCAGGCCACTGCTGCTGCTAAATGCTATAAAAGACATTCTTCTGGCACTCAGAAGGTAAGCACACCGAGATACCATACGCAAAATGAATTGAAAGCGGAATTTCTGCATACACAACGCACATGCACACGTTAACGCCACTTCAAACAGAGGTTCGATGTTGGAAACCAGTTTCTCTATTGGCAGCTCCTTTGTACCAGTAGAAAGTGCAAACTAAATTACTTCGGACCTTCTGCAGCAGAACAAACTTGCAGAAGTGAAGCTGCGAATTGAGAGCAAGGCGTTCGTCAGTGACGCAGAACATTTTTGAGAGCTGCTCCTGTGCTGCCTCCTTCGAGATCCAGAGTCCACCTACAGCCGTGGTCTCCGTCAAAGTCTCCTTTTCTTTTGATGTTGTTCTTTCTTGCGTGTGCTACCTGCCTCCTTCTCCTTCACTTGCTCCATACAGCAGTCATGAATTGTCTGCTGGCGAGCCTCGAGATTCTCACAGAATTTTGGTGCAGCGCGCCTGGATGCGTCGATCAAAGTGTCCCTCTCATCGGCGGATTTCTCCTGTAGCCACTGTGCCGTTTGATTGTTCGTAAACATCAGTAGCCGTTCAAGCACAACAGGGTCAAACATTGGCTTTCAGCACGCTTTGAAAACTGGCTCAGGTAGGACGACGACGCATCTTTCTCCTCCGCCTCAAGCCCTTCTCCTCACTATCTACGTCCATATTTCCTCCTTGCGCAGCTATGCGCAAACCCTGGTGAACAAGAACTCAACTGTTTCTGAATGGAAACACGACGCTGAAGACGATAGGCAACGTTTCCAACGCGTACTAACAACATTTCCTTGTGAAAAAACTCTTTGCTGGAAGTGTACATGACCTGCAAGTCTCAAAAATGTACGCACTATGACGTATGTAGGCTCTACTGAAAGCTGAACGCCAGAGCAGCACGATGCACTGAACTACAGGCCCGTACAACGAAGCATGGCGCGTACCTGTACAGTTTTGCATAGGCACTTGAGTGATACCACGCAAGTACGCACTCTCACCTTAGCAAAATTTGACAGGTCTTGTCACGTGACTGAAGTGCCTAGTAGGGGCGCGCTGGCGGGATTTTACGGTATGTGGAGTAGGGAGTTTCGCGACTATAATTCGTGAAAGCAGTTTAATTTATTTCAACATGCACGTAAGTGGTGTGCCCCTCCTTGATATTTAACAATATTTCTGGGTCCCCTCATCAACACACCTAGGCGGTCTTGTAGTTCACCAGACTGTGGTATTTTAGCCTATCCCTGTGATTTGCACGGACAAATCCCTCAAATTATGCGCATCATAATGCGGCCGAAAACAGTGAAGCCAGGATTGGGCAGCAATTATGCAGAGGAATGGGAGTGACAGGCAATTGCGACTATAATACGTGAAAGCAGTTTAATTTATTTCAACATGCACGTAAGTGGTGTGCCCCTCCTTGATATTTAACAATATTTCTGGGTCCCCTCATCAACACACCTAGGTGGTCTTGTAGTTCACCAGACTGTGGTATTTTAGCCTATCCCTGTGATTTGCTCGGACAAATCCCTCAAATTATGCGCATCATAATGCGGCCGAAAACAGTGAAGCCAGGATTGGGCAGCGATTATGCAGAGGAATGGGAGTGACAGGCAATTGTGCAAATATTGCATGGCCATGTAATCCATGGCAGAAGATTAGCACAGGCTGTGCTCCACAATCTGACAGATCCAAGCACGGCTGGACTTTACTTTTGTATCTATTACGTACGAATATCCGTATCCCTTCTGTTACGTACGAATAGGTATTCACTGGTTTAAGGTACTCTGCACATTTCATGAGAGACTTGTCCGTACTTGTGTGTGTGTGTGTGTGTATGTGTGTGATGCGAATTATTGTTTGCTATGGCATAGGAGCATAACTCTGGCTATAAGAATGGCTGGATCCAGGTGTCTTCGCCGCATTCGTGCGAGATCAGCAAAAAGAAGGTGCGCGACGGCCACAAGTTGCAGCTCTGGCGAGGTGTGGTGGATGTGCCTGCAAATCCTGCCGACATCCAGCGGAGAATCCTATGGGAACGGTATGGCGTTGTCCTTGTAGTACTGTTCGACACGTTGTTTTCGGTGTAACTTTGATTTCGGCAATTTCGGTAAAGAAACCAGGTCACCTAAAAGCAGGGGCGTCGAACACGCTATGGTCACTACGGTATTGACCGTACCACTCTTTGCCCCAAGGTACCCCATGAATCAATCAAAAGCACTGATTTCTACTCTAAATTTTGACAAATTTCAGCGTAGCCACCTCTCTTAACAAGTAAACTCTACCTCAGATGGCTGGCCGTACCACCCTAAGTTATCTTCCCATGCCCCTGTAAAAGGCACTAGAGTATGCACTGAATGTGAAGGTAATGCTGCGCTGGTCACCTAATTCTACATTACCTGTACACCTGAAACCAGGCAGGTTCCTGACACCGAAATGTTAATACATTGTACACCTAAACGTACATGTTATACAGAACTGCTGTCCACCCACGGCCAATTGTTATCTTGTGATACGTTACCACATGATTGCTCAAGACCGGCCCAGAAATTTCCTCGTTTCCTATCTGCAATAGCATGCACTGTATCTTCCATGCTAGTGGTGGTTTAGCATGTGCGCTAAGCCTTGTTAACGAACGTGGAACATCTACCACTCATACTTAGTCTGATGATCATGCATCTGATTATGATGTCATTGCTATACATGCGCATGCGTAGCGCGCGCCACTCTCCCACGCGTGCTTTCCAAATCTTGCTTTAGAGAGAGAGAAAGAGAAAAGAGAGACTCCTTTGTCACTTTTGCTTTCCGACGACTTGACTCACACCAGAAAACAATGTGTTCTGAGCCGGGTGCATGCCTGTATGTGGAGAGTGCGTTAATGGGTAAAAATACGCCCGCATAGTCATGGATCAGGGGGGGTTGTTTGGCTCCTGTCCCACTGTTTCACTCCTGAGCTGCTCAGCCTGACCTGTAAATATCTTGCCTTGTTTAACTCTCTCTTTCTCTCTGCTCTGCTCTCTCTCTCTCTCTCTCATTTCAGGAATAATTGGGATAGTCAGTTTGTAACGTCACAATGCCTGGAGGTGTTAGATGACTCGACGGAGGTGTACCAATATGTGTGTAGGTCAATGCCATCTCAGCCAAATCGGGAATCAGTTGTGCTAAGGTGTGTATACTTTACATGTATTCAGCTGTCCATAATATTCATATGGCATACAGTCGACTGCACTTATAACGAACTTGCATATAGCGAGTTTCGTGATAGCGAACCCTTGTCCAAATCCCTGTTTGAACCCATACAAAATTGACCCTTTCTAGCAAACAGTTTTCGTCTATAACGAACCAAATCTTGTAGGGCCGCATGTAAACCAAGTGCATTTGTACTATCATGGGCCACTTGCCGGTCAGGACTTGCTTTTTGTGTAGTTTATAAAATGTAAAAAGACCAAGGAACTACAAGTTACACTATAATGTCCACTAACACCACCAGTTACTAAACAATCAGCTCATGCGATAACATTGCACAACACTGACCGACGGTGCTGACGTTCTACAACTAACTGGCTAACAGCTCTAGCACATCTTGGATGCGCACTCCAACAGGCTTCCAACTTGGAAGGTTCTAAGTTATAAAAATAACATAAGGAGGGGAAGGTGAAGGTTATTTTCCTTGGCTCTCCATCCGAGTTCATTTTTGTATAGTGTTTATTGCATTTCTGTTATAACGAACTTCGGTTATAAAGAACTAATTCTCCTGCACAATGGTCAATGGTGTTCGCTATATCAGGCGTCGACTGTACGTCGTGTTATGCCGTGCCTACTCCCTTTCTTTCTAGTTCTCTTTGTACATGCTCACCTTCATTCTGCCTCTTCTTCTACCAGACATTCTGATTGAACACTCCTGCGAGGAGATTAGGTGCAAACTTGCAAAGCATGACAAGTGCCGAGTCTGGGACTAGAGAATACGGCATCAGTGTAGTCCTCTCAGGTCAATGAGTGTCTTGATGCATAATTCTTGCATTCAAATTTCGGCAAGAATCACTGTCACTATGGATTTTCTGGAAGTAGACACACGCACGTAAAACGAATCCTTTCAAAAATGGTTATGTCGCACTTGGCAGTCACATCAGATTATCCCGGGTGGGAGTAACTGTGGGAACGGAGAAGAAAAGTTACTTCTTTCTTTTGCAGTCAAACTCCTCGTGTGTGATTCGATCGTATGCTTGGTTGTGCCCTGGGTATGCATCTGCCTATGTTAGCTACATGTATAAGAGCAGTCCTTGTTTATTACTCAGTAGATTTGTTCGTCAATCCGTGGCCTTATCTCTCTCTCTCTCTCTCTCTCTCTCTCCCTCTCTCTCTCTCCCTCCCTCTCTCTCTCTCTCTCTCTCGCTCTCGCTCTCTTTATCTATCTCTCCATTTCTCTCCTCAAGGTCATGGATTAACCGTGAGGATATCTCTATCATCATGGCTACCAGCGTGCAACACCCGAAGGCAACATGGCAGGGCGGTGTCGTCATCACTGAGTTGGCAACACGCTACGTCATCGAACCACTCGCTGCAAATCTCTCCAGGCTCACCCTTATTACCAGGCATGATCTATGGTGAGTGTTTCACCGTGCCGTCTCAGGGGCGTAGGAGGGGTTTTGGAAGTGGTACGACCGAAGGTCGGCGGCTGAAGGCCGTTTTGGAGGGGGTCCGGGGGACCTCCCCGCGGGAAAATTTTGTAAAAAAAGACACAAAATCCTGCGTTCTGGGAACTTCTGGCACACTTCTGGCACAGTTTATAAGTCATAGAATTATTTCACGGGCAGAAGAGACGTGCATGGACATGCACAGATGCATGGCAGATCTACGAGTACGAGTCTAGAAAAAGGTCAAAGTCTGATGCGCATATGCATCGATGGGTCCTGATTTTTTATTACGGTTTTGCACGTTCCGGACGGACCACACTTTTCGAAAAGTGGTACGGCCATGGTCGTACCAGTCGTAGCGGGTGCTACGCCCCTGCGTCTATTATGTTGTCAGAGCTACCCCCCCCCCCCCCCCCCCCCCCCAATAAAAATGATATCGAAAAGGGGCAAGCCTACAAGGGCAAGTTCAAATTATCCTCGTCACCTTTTCGAGAAACATCTTAGAAGAGATTAGTTGAAGAATCCCAATATCCCTCACTCTTTCCTTTGGAATTGGCATAGCAATGAGGTTTTCCAAGCATGGATCCCACGTGAAAATGGGCTTACCTTGCCATATGGGCAAGTTTTGTCGTAGTTTCTACGGGAAATGCATATACAAAAGGCAGATTTCGCGGGGAATATTCCAAGCTCTTCTAAACTAATCCACCTCTCCCATTGGATGAGGTTGTGGAGTTTCGAGGTGACTTTCGTTTTCTGAAGAGGCCAATTAGCCACCTCTTCAGAAAAACGAATCTCATCGAAAAAGTCAAAGCGTGACGATTTGAACGCCCCCTAAATATGCCATTTTGCCTCCATGAGGTTTAATGCAGCTTATACACCAATGTGGCGCTGATCATGGAGACTTTGGGGATTGACATACTTTCTGCGTGAAAATCGTTTTAGAATGGCACTACAAGGTGTTATTTTGACATTAGACACCCTTAGCAAAAAAACGTTATGTTGTAACGGTATTATCGTAAGGGTGAAAATACCGTGATTTGGGTTCCACCTTTAGCAAGATGCACGCTATTTTTAGTACGCTGTTGCCACGAGAATAGCTTTGATTTCGTGCGGTACAACCATTTTTGTCACCATATACGCGATACAAGGTGAAATGCGTACGGACTATGCAATATTTGGCTAAAACACGTACCGTTGATCACAACGATAAATCAGTCCCCATAACGTTTATACGCTGCAGCTTCAACGCTATTTGGGTGATCAAGGTACGAGTACCGTAAAAAATAGCGTTACCATTGTTTGCTATTAAAGGGTGTCTATTGTTTCTGTACAGTTGAGATACACCGAGAGCCCCATTTCCTCCGTACATCAGAGACGTGTGCAACTGATTGTGTTTGTGTGTGTATGTGCATGTGTTTGTCCATGTGTGTCCGCACTATTAATGCAGTGGTCGGTCACTCAACTTTTACAAGAACTACGGACCGTGGAGTGTGGCGCAGGTGTGCAATATCCGTGACTCCTTCTCACCGGAGTTCTCCATTCAACCGTCACCACGCTCGCGCCCTGGTCCTTCATACAGTATCCTGTAACGGATGGCACCGTGGAGGAAGAAGGCACACGGACATATAATATTGTATGAGCGTCTCGATCTTTCTCCTCCGCTAGCTCTATCTAGCTCTGTCCCAGTTTAGCCTTTAGGTCTCTAGCTTATCTGCCTGTCGGCTCTGTGACTGTACCCTGATATATCCCCATCACCAGTGCCGCTAGCACCACCTACTGGTTGATCTCTTGCCACTGGTGCTGCTACTCTGGCTTGCTGTGGGTCACGATGGCGTTTGCACTTCTGGATACCCTTGTTACTACTCATTGTCATTGGAGCGCAACATTCTCAACTAGGAAGATGACTTGGCTTCTGATCAGTGGCTGCCTTGCCGCACCTCGGAGACCTTGCATCGCGGAGTGTTTGCTATCCTCGACCTTGACGCTGAAGGTGCAATGGAAGTAGAGTGTTCAGCCCCTGTAGTATACTTTCGTCTCCCGTATGTGTGTGTGTGTGTGTGTGTGTGTGTGTGTGTGTGTATGCTGTTATGTTGACTAGACCATAATCCACTCTAACCCCACTGTCTGCCGCACTGTCTGTATATTGCACTGACAAGCTTTTCCATTATATATATTTATATATAGCTGTACATAGCTTAGTATGCTCTAGAAAAATCCTTCATGCCACATAGTGCTGTGTGTTTGTTGTTGTTGTTGTCGTTGTTGTTGTCGTCGTCGTTGTTGTTGTTTTTGTTATTGCTTGCACTTTTCTTGTGGCGGCTTCTTCTTGTCCCGGACGTAGTACCGGTATAACTTCCGCTCTCTGCCATATGCTTTTTTCTGCTGTCTAGCCTGGCAATATTCCACTATTTCTTGTGTGTTTGCTCGCTCCGACTTGCCGCCCGCAGCTATGTCTGTGCGTATCGCCTTCCTGTCCCGATTTTGTTCAACCCTCCCTTTTGGCCGCTGGCTTGGCTCTTTCTGACCGGATTATGTCGTTTCTTCTGTCAAATTCTGAAATTCTGACCGCTGCTGGATCCTTGTTGCCAGAACCCCGTATCTATTTTTGCTCTACCTTCAACAAGCTATCTTTCCTCTATCACAGAAATAGATCCAACAAACTTAGACTGAAGTATTATGATACTGTATACCTATTACGTGCTTCTATGCTGGCAAGCAGCCCAACTTTCGAGACTGCAAACTACTTTTCGGTATGATTCTCGCAGACAATACGATATAGACAATGCATACTAACGCCTTGTGAAACGAACACATCTTGTGTGTGTGTGTGTGTGTGTGTGTGTGTGTGTGTGTGTGTGTGTGTGTGTGCGTGCGTGCGTGTGTATGTGTGTGTGTGTGTGTGTGTGTGTGTTGTGCCAGCTAGTTCGGTTGGTGGGTACACTTATGCCTGATTGTGTAGGGCCTGTTGCCAACGGGCTCGGCTTTTTGAAGGCGTAATGTTGTACCTGCCACCTTTGTTGGTTCCAGGGTTCATATACTTTCTATTTGAAGTATACATACCTGTTAACCATGGACTGCTTCTGGCTAGATTAACTCTTGTGTAATCAATGGTGCAGTGAAGCTTATATCAAATCCACTCTGATTTAGCAACCCACACTAGTAGCAAGTATTACCTTCACTGGGGGCAGGGGGAACTGCAGCTGGATCCCTGGACGGGTACCCTGAATGAATGGCCTGATGCCGTCAATCCTTTTTAACTGAGGTGCGGTGAGCCCATAAGTGGGATCATTTTCAAGTCCACCCAGATCTTGAGTTTTGGGGATTTCAGGGGGTGTCGGCCGTTAGGCGGTTCAATAGGCAATTGAGTCATCTTTCCAAGATTCCTTTTGAGTCTTTCTCCCCTCTCCCGGGGAGACCCACGTGACCAGTTTTGGTACACGTGCATGTGTGTGTGTGTGTGTGTGTGTGTGTGTGGCATCATGGTATGATGTTGCATGTGAGTCTCGCGCGGAGTGGCGCAGCACCTACCAAGAGCCTGACAATGTGCCTGAGCCTCCGCCCCGAGTGGTATGTACGGTATGCGGACGGGATTTTGCACGGAAAGGAGACATGGCTCGGCATAAGTGTCTGGAGGAGCGTGCGCGGCCTGTGTCTGAGCAGCGGGGCGCCAGTCAGTGCGGGCGGTGTGGGCGGTGGCTGAGAAGCCGCGGTGGCTTGGTCCGGCATGTGTGTGCCTCAACGGTGGATGCCGCAGTGCCACCTGGAACTACCGGAGCGTCGGCACCGGCGGAGGGATGTTGTGCCGCGCATTGTGACAGGTGTGGTCGCTGCTTTCGCGGTGTCCGGGGACGGGGAAGGCATCGCTGTTCAAGGGTGGCGCATAGACCAACAGCAGAGGAGCGCTCAGCCTTCCAGCACGTGTGCATATGCGGCAAGCGGATGCGACTACCCGTGCACCTGGAGCGTCATCGAGCGTCGTGTCCTCTCTCTCTCTCTTCTCAAGTTTCCCAGTGATGGGATCACGTGACCCTTTTGCGGCAGTGACTCTACAGGACAGGACAGGACAGGTGTGTGTGAGTGTGTGTGTGTGTGTGTGTGTGTGTGTGTGTGTGTGTGTGTGTGTGTGTGTGTGTGTGTGTGTGTGTGTGTGTGTGTGTGTGTGTAGGGGTGCCTTGCAAGTAAGTGTTGAATGGTGCAATCCCAGCACAAATTGCTATGGCTTCTGCTGTAGCATCGCTATCATCACCTCCGGCGATGGGCGTCAAAGGTCAAAGGTAGGGGTGCCTGTGTGTATGGGTGGGTGGGGGTGCTGGGGGATAGCTGTGCTACATGTAGTAGGAACCGACACAAGAAGCAAGAAGGTGTTTGCTCTGTGTTTGCGGCATGTGCGATAGCTATGGCCTCATTGCATTTGGTGTGTTCCTGCACGAGTGCATGAGTGACTGGACTGGTGAGAAGACCATCTTCATGAGCACCCCCCCCCCCCCCCCCCCCCCAGTAGGAGTGTGCTAATGTGCATGGGCTTGTGGAACGACGAAATCCAAACATTGCACAAGTACAAAGGCTCCTGCAAGGATTATCTGAGAGACAGTAGTACATAATCATGCCTATAGCTGTGTGTCCCTCAAACCAGTGAACACTGAATAGCTGTGTAACTTTGTAGATCCATGGCACAGAGGCTGTACCTTTTGTGTAGATCCATGGCATAATTATACATGTACCTTCCATCAAGAGTCCATAACCCCAGGGTCATGGACTCTTGCTTCCATGCGTGCATGCGCACATACAAAGCCTGCCCGTTACGTACACCAGTGTATACGCTCTGGATGATTGTAAAGTTACTATAGTCTACATACGCATGACTGTATGGAAGAAGTTTGAAGTCCACTGTGACAATAATTTGACGTCAATGCAGAAAGCGCTGCTCAGGTGCATGGATCTATTCAATCAGTATAGTAGAGACCAGGATAAGAGCGTGCCACTTGGTATTGAGGGCGACTGGTGATTAGAGAAACGTACGGCACACGCAACAGAACCCTGCTACATACGCAGAAGAATGCCTGCACGCGTCTGGCATGTGCGGAGCACACCAACACGCTCCATGCATAGCTCAATCTAAATCAGCTCCGGAACGTCGAAATGTGGCAAAAATAAAATAGCATACATCAAGACAGAGGAAATGAAGATGAATAAAAGAATGAGTGGGTCGTGAAAGTTCGTTCCCACGTGTCACTGTGGAATGAGGCGGCACGAAAGAGGTGAATTGTAGCAAAGTCTGAAAGTCCGTAGAAATATCTAAGCATCTGGTAACGCAGGTAGTCAATTATGGTGCATTTCAAAGGGTAGGGCAGGCAAGGGGCAGGGGGGGGGGGGGTACTTCGTGCTGAGACTATGTATGAACATGTATTGGGCAGGAAGCCAAAGCGAAGCGGAAAATGAAACGAGGCGAAATATCAAGACGATAAGTATGTACCGGGTGTACTGCATGCAAAAGTACAGCGCGGGAAGTCGGGTGACGAATTGTGAAGAAACGCGATGACTAGACAATTTGTACATCCGCGCGCTGTGTCCGCGGTACAGGTATGGCTCCAGCCTGCGTGAGTCAGTAGCGTCGGCAAGCCACATGGGCACTGCATGATAATGGCGAGCTGCATGCCAACACAGGCGTGCACCTGCGACAGCCACATGTCCAACCAGGTAGCCAGGCGAGGCTGAAGCAAGACACCTATCTGAACGAGACAACACACTTCACTTTGCGTGTGACTTCCGGCACGATACAGCACGGGGAGGGGAGGGAAGGAGAGAAAGAGAGAGAGACACACACACACACACACACACACATGCAGGCAGAGAGACAGAGACATAGAGACAAAGAGACAGAGAGGGGCACAGGGAGACAGAAAGGCTAAGTTGTCAATTCAGAGCTCCAATGAGTTGAAGAGATGCAGCAGTAAAATAGATATACTGCATTATCGGTTTACAGTCCGTTCAAGGCAGCGTGTCCTGTTGGTGCGCTTGTGAGTACATTCACATTTTTCAAAGCAAATCACGTCTTGGGACGCAGCGGGCATGCAATACATCCGTATTCAAAGTCAATTGAAGACTAACTGCCAGAGTTCGTCGAGACAGCAAGCGTGTGAGAAAGGTACCACAGATAGAATCGCCGTATAGGCAAAGCACTGGGCTGCCGAGCTGCTGGTCATTACAAGGCACTCCACTTGGAGTATGTCTAACACTCTTGCTGCTCATCACGCTGATTTTAGCTGGCTATACTGGTATTGTGGGTGGACGCAAATATCTCAACACACCCTGATCACGGGCCGTTGAGAGCCTCCACTGCTTCTAAGTACGTCTTGTCGTTGACAACGAAATCCTCCAGCTGATACATCAGCGACTCAAACGTGGGCCTGTTGGCTGCCTCGTCGTGCCACGAGTCCAGCATCATCTGGTAGATGGGATCTGGCGTGCCCGTGGGCTGCGGAATGCGGTAGCCTTCTTCGATTCGCTTCAGCGTCTCGGCGTTGTTCATGGCCGGGTATGGCTTCTGACCTTTGGTGAAGAGCTCGACCATGAGAATGCCAAACGACCAGACATCGGACTTGTTACTGAAGCGACTGTAGAGCGCCGCTTCCGGTGCCGTCCACTTGATGGGGAACTTAGCACCAGCACGGGCAATATACTCGGATGTAATGATCCGCGCAAGACCAAAGTCCGCTATCTTGACAGTGTTGTGCTCGCCTACCAGGATATTGCGGGCCGCTAGGTCACGGTGGATGTAGTTCTTCGTCTCAAGGTAGCTCATGCCTTGTGCAATCTGATAGGCCATATCCACCTGGAGGGGATGAGAACAAAAAGCAGGCACGCACACATGTTGGTGAACTTGATATCAACTTGGCAAAAAGACAAAAGTCTAAATGGTTATGTTCAGAAGGAGTATTGTTATGATAACCGTGCCATAACAATAATAACATATGTACCAGCTGTATTTAGAAATCGGTTATTTCAGGCTCCACGCCATACTGCAACACACATCTGAACATGGTTACTCCAAGTAGACAGACCACCTGTGTTTAGTTAGAGACTGGTCACTTCAGGCAGGCCAAACTACAACATACATTTGAACCTGTGTAGAAACTTAGAAAGGCTACCTCTATTTAGAGAGACCAGTCATTTCAGGCACCACACCATGCCTGTGTAGAAACTTCGGACCACCTGCATATAGAGATTGGTCAATGGTCTCAGGCCCCAGACCATGCTTCAGGGTACATTTGCACAAGGTTACTCTACGGTGCACATTCGACTCGTTGTCGAGGCTACTCCGAGCTGTATACAGTTGAATGTCTCTTTAAAAGTGTTGTCAAGGATTCTCTGTGTACATTTGAATGTCTTTTACAGTGTTGTCAACGATACTCTGTGCACATTTGAATGTCTTCATGTGTTGTCAAGGATACTCTGTATACATGTAAATGTCTTCATGTGTTGTCAAGGCTACTCCGTGTACACTTGAATATATTTTACAAGTGTTATCAAGGATAACAAGAGTACATAAACCAGAGTGTGCAACTGAGGATGGTTCCTGTGGGAGCGTAATCCGTGCAGTACGTCATTTCTGATGGCATGGTAAGCGACAGGTACGGTGAAAAGTTGCGTAACCAGTAACGGTGGTGCAGGTCACTGAGTTTGTCCTGATTTCGGTTTTTTGATATGGATAGCCTAGTGAATTTACTCGCCAGCGCATGTACACAGCGTACTCAGTCCGGAACACAAAAACACCGAAATCCTAAAACAGGACGTCTAAATCATGCAAACTTGGCTGATTTCCGGACTGTAAAACACGAAAATTTGACGCAAGTCGCAGCTTGGCTGACCTCATCAGGGCGACGTAGTGCACGAACTGCGCTGTTTCAGATCTGATATGAACAGTTGCACACTCTGGTTTATGTACTCTTGAGGATACTCTGTGTACATTTGAACCTGTGTAGAAAGATCATCTGCCCTTTCAAAAGATCGGTTTTCTTTCCACTATCAATGATGGTCACTAAAGACATGGGCGATTTAGACTGTAATTCACGGGCCATGGCCCGGACACACATTGAGTGCACTCACCAGATGTGGCATTCTCAGATCTGTCTTGTACAATCTGAGATAGTCTAGTAAGCATCCGTTACTCATAAGCTCGGTGACGATCAGGATTGGCTCGCCGACGGTGCAGACTGCGTACAGGCGGATCAGCTTGGGATGCTGCAGGTCCTTCATCAGCTGCGCTTCCTGGATGAACGCCTGCCGCTCCATCGACTCCTCTTTCAGCATCTTCACGGCCACATCGGTGGTGTTGTTCCACTGCGCCTGCCACACCTCACCAAACTGGCCGGCACCAAGCTTCTTGGTGAACTCCAATGACGTGCGGTCGATCTCCCACTCGTCACGGTGGGACAGGCTGAACGGCGTGGGCGTGTCGAGCTTGTCGCACGGGAACTTTAATCTCAGACCGCCCACGTCCGGGTTGAGCTTGTAGAACTCCACTAAGCTAATGATGTCGTCGAAGTGGGCTTGCCTCGACACGTAGTATTTGCCCGTCTCTGCGTTGCGTTTTATCCGATAGTGCTTGATGGCGTCGTGATCTCGCACCGAAACAGAGTACTCACCATGGCTGGTCTCAGAGTTGCGCACCAGGAAAGCCCCGTGCTTACCACAGAGTGACAGTGCTTTCTCGGCATCGGCGCGTCGAAACCCTTGGAAGAACCACCTGCAGAGGCACAGAACCACAGTAGAACACAGAGACCACAGCTCAAAAAATGCTAAGCCGGAAAGTAGTAGAAATACTTGCAGCGCACACACACACACACACACAGAGGGCATCTCTAAGAAGCACGACTACCAAGCCGGAATACTTTTTCTGTGAGCGATAACTTCACGGAGTACTGTAAAAGCAGAACTTGTCGGTGGTGTAATACTTTCTGCATTCTCCAAAATCGGCGGTTCGGTGGAGAGAAATTTTCGGTAAACCCATTTTCCAAGAAAGTGTACCAGTACTAGTACCGAAATTTTTGGTGCGTTTTATTTAAGGTAAAACTTGAAAGTTTATAATACCGAAAATAAAACACCACCGAAAATTCTGCTTTTCCAGTAATGATTATGTACATGTACTTCATAACGTGCAGTGCTCCAATAAAATCCGGGCCGTCACTCGTAATCCAGCACCAATCACAATACATCTGCCAAGCAAGACACAACCATTGTACACACGCACATAGTTGTACGAGTACGGAAGGAAAGGTGCACTGGCTGTTTGCAGTGCAGCATGGCACATCACAAGGAAAGGTGCACTGGCTGTTTGCAGTGCAGCATGGCTCATCACAAGTCTCACAAGGAGCATCAGCTGGCAACTGGCTGTCACAGTGAAGTTTCCTTCCTCTCAGCTTGCTGGGCAGGGCACTGCTGATGCTGCTGTCCAGCAGCTGACGCCGGGGCCAATGAATGGTATCACAACAAAGGCTAGCCTTGCAGTAAAGTATGGATGTGTCCACCATGCTGAACACCACTGTGACGAAAATAGTGTGCTGTGTGCACTGCTGTAGTAACTCGAACCAAACAGCTGCTGACACCCACTAGCTACTTGACCGATTCCCCGGCATACTCAACTCCTGAACTGTCTGCAGCAGCTACAGGCACAAGATCACGCCTCGGAGTGAGCCTGCCACGGTCTGCAACACCTGCAGCAGCAGTTGCTTGACCCGCACACTCTGACTCTGAATTCAAGACGAGTGCTATGCACAGGGCCCCATTCAACACCTCTAACCGTTACTGCTGCAAAACACATCTGCTTGGGCACGGATTGATTTTCTGCACCCCCCCCCCCCCCCCCGGAGTATGGGATGTTTGCACTGTTCTGCAAACACAGCTGCACTGTTAGAAGGGATTTCCACGTCCTTGTGGTGAACACACCCTCTCCTTGTGTCCAACACACCCTTAAAAGTTTCGTGTGACACGCCATACAGCACTGAAGTGATCAGTAGACCTGCCAGCATCAGACACCCAACCGGGAACCTGACATATTTGTCTCGAATAGGAGAGGTATCCAGATTGCAGAGTGTTCTACAACTTGAACGGGAAAAGTCGGGTATCTGAACAAACGTGTCCGCCTCAGTTGAGAGGTGGCCAATAAGAAACGGTTATACTGTACACGAACGCATGAGATTACAGTGCCCGAAATGAAGTGTGCTTTGACCCCGGGGATTCGGAAGTTTCACGTAATCCGTGGTCTTCACTCAGGGAGAGTTGCGCCATATCGAGAGAGTGCTCGATGCATCTCTAGTCCATTTCAAAAAGATTAGCAATCAGGTTTTTGAACTGAGGTGGCGAGGTGACAAAAGTTTAAGGATGGCAATAAACAGAATCAGCTGAAGCGTCATGTTACGAAGGTTTTATTCAGATGTCACGAACAAACTCTAGATGCTTCCTGATTAGCGTTGTGTGAAAGCTAGTTTGATGCATTTTTATATTTTCCATCGTTCCTATTATTGTTCTTCACATTACATTTCCATCATAGCTATTTCTTCGTCCATCACCACTTTCTCTAGGATTCGTTCGTGACATCTCAATAAAACCTTCGTAACATGACGCTTCAGCTGATTCTGTTTATGGCCATCCTTAAAAATCAGGTTTTTGGTCTTAATAAGTATGAAGATAACGGAAATCCGGACAACAAAGTACACAGGGCATGGCACATTGTGCTGTAAAGGTTTCGAAACCAGGTTTCTGGCCCTTTCTCATGGTTTAGAATTTGCCCTGGAAGCCAGTAGCAACTTTTCATCAAAAACCCACGATTTTTATACGCCTTTTCGGCCTTGTCGTTATGAACGCTGTCCGCTGACCATGGAGTTGTGGGTTCAAATCCCAACCTATCTTCAATTCCAACTTTATTTCATTGTTTTGGTGATGAAGCTGGTACATAATCATGATAATTGTACAAGGTGGTGGCTGCTCCAAGCGTTGGAGCTCGCGGTTTCTGCCGACTGCACTGACATTGGACTGACTCACGTAGATCTACATCGAAACGGTGTGAGTGAAGTCATTGCACTGTCAGCTGTAGCTACATGATCAATCGACTTCTTGGAGAGAATTTTCGAGTATTTTCACGATTGCCAATTTATTTGAATTTAGGAGTCGGCACCGTCTTCTATCAGCTTTCACAGACGTCTGCTTTTCTCAAAGATGGTCGTTGAAGTCACACGGATGGCTTGGCCAGGTCATGGCCTTGAGAATGAGTCCGTGCCCATGTCGTTTTCGTCCCACGATGAGAGTAAATTGAATCGCAGCTCAAAGAAACTGTTAGATGACAAAACAGGATTCATGGCCAGCTTTAACATTTTCCACGCTTTCGACATGTCCTCTGCGACTCCGTATCGAGGAAACACTTACTTGTTTGTTGTAAACAAGGAGTCGTAAAATATTACGACTCCCTGTTTGCAAAAAAGAACAGACATACCTACGTGAGTGAGTTTAGTCATTTTTCATACTTTTGTGCGGAATATTTCTTCGAGTTCACAGCGAGTTTCCAGGCAGCTCATGCGGTAAGACGGCAAACTCCCCGGACGATCGCCAGGATTGCTAGTCATTTTGAAACGGACTGTAGGTGCAGAGCCTTATACACATAAAGAGAAAGAAAATGCATTCCTGTTGTAAATCTGAGTTGCACGTGTTAGTGACAATCAAACTCCACTGACCCCAATGTCCTTAAGATGTGATTGATATAGGCTGCAGCAAGTGTGGGTGATACCATGCGAGTGAGTGGTATGTGCCACTAAATTCTTAAATTAATTCACTTGTGCGATATTGCCCACACTCGCTGCAGCCTATATCAATTACATCTTTAGGACATTGTAGTTAGTGCAGTCAGATGATAGTTAATGCGAGTTACAGCAGGAACACTGTGCTTCCTCTCGTTATGCGTAATCCGTAATCTACGCAGCCAGAGATCGTGGCCTTGGCCTGCTGACCCTAAGCGCGACCCAGACAAACGATGCCATATGCCGCATTATGCGAGCGTGTGCAAATCACTGGAACGGACGGTCCGGGTCCGAAATCCACACAATCTACACAATCTAGCGTTGCAGTGGCCCACGTCATCTACCCAGACCCTGCGACTCCTGGGTACAGCACTCGGTGTTGAGTACACACCCAGTGGATCAATCTCCACATCAGTGCCCTCTCGTGAACATTAACATTATGTGCGCATGCTTGAGACTAAGAAAGCCACACTGCCGGGCACTAGTGCAAGCTGTCCAACGATCGGCATTGACTGTATTACAACACCCTACTAAGAATGAGTGCCACGAGCACTGTTCTCACATGTCCAAGGGCGTCGGAACCGCACCGGCCGGGGCGGCCATGGCCGCCCCACTTTTTCGGCCGTTTATTTTTTTATTTTTTTATATTTTTTTTAGCACACTGCAACAAAGCGCGATGATCTCAGCGCAAACGTGGCAAATCCTTGTCCCCGATCGTGGTTTGTTGCAGAATCAAAAGTCCATGTACACTGAAATGGCACCAAATGCCTGGGAATGCTTGCAATTGGCTTCAATTTTTGAATTTTTTTCCCGGGGGAGGGTAATGTTTGTCCCCGATCGTAGCATCTTCTTGGTTTTTTGCAGAATCAAAAAGTCTTTCATTGTAGTTACCGTACACTGAAATGGCACCAAATGCCCGGAAATGCTTGCAATTGGCTTTAATTTTTGAAATTTTTTCCCGGGGGAGGACCCCCGGACCCCCCTTCCATGGCCACCCCACTTCCAAAGTCGTTCCGACGCGCCTGCATGTCAAGGCACATTGACGTCAATATCATGTTACTCGAATACCACTGCAGTACTGCTGCCGGGTGCCGGAGAACTGGGAGAGGGGGGGGGGGGTCAACCTCCTAGCCTAGGCATTCTTAGTCCCATGTTCTAAAGGCTATGCACAGTTGACATTGGTATGCTGTGCTTGGTGAAATCCTAGCCTGTTCGTTCTTCGGCGCTCCGCTCTTCGGAACCCGCCAGTACTGCACTGCATCCAACACCGGTGTCCCACTGTCCAGGCTAGCAAAGACCTGCTTGAGTCTGCGGCCGCACATACCCTGCCCCCATGCACGTGCGTACGTTTGCGACACGGCAACATCTCATGTGCAGGGGGACATGCACATTGGCGCGCACACAGCACACCCAGGCCAGTGCGGCAGGGAGCCAGGGATCCCCTGTTCTACCACTATAGTCACACCAACCGATCCTAGTAGCGTGCTCTGGTTAGCGAAAATAGGACCAAGACACCACAATGCAACTCGGCCTTACAGATGATGATCAACTTTCCGGCTCAACCTTGCAGATACTGATCGGCTTTCCAGCTCGACCTCACCACACAGAGTAATGGCCAGCAAAGTTTCCCGATCGGACTTTTGGACCTAGCTGGAATATGATTACAGGGTATCATGCACAACGTTACACTTTTAGAAACTTTCCTTCAACTATGACTATGACCTGCAGATCTGCAGCATAGCCATGACTATCTAGGCTGTGTCGCTACCCATGTCATGAGTCAGGATTTGGTGATGACTAATTATGTGCGAATCATGAGCATCAATAATCACTAATCAGTTTGCAGCTTCACACTTCCTATTTGAATTCACTGGTCGCTCATTCAGATATTTTCAGAGTGGCACACATGAAACACAGTGGAAGTATGGCAACAGGCTATTGTTCTGACTTGGATTCTCATTGTCCACTCCTCTTCCACTCTTTGTTCAGACTTCAGGCTCTGAATGTGCACCACATGATCTACCTACTTCTGGAGCAGCATGTGGTGTGCAGCGTACAGCTTCACCTGAGGCAACAACTCCAGTCACAGTGTTTTTACACATTGTCCTGTGTGCAGGACAGACACCCACACGCGCGTGTAGCTAGTACTAGTAGCTACTTGTGTCCCGGTGTCTGCACAGACTGTTCTACCGACAGCTGAGTTGGCCGCATGAAGAACACATAACTTCATAAGACTCGTGTCAGCGATCGCTAGGGCGACGAGTCGTTTCTCTCGAAATGCCAATCACACCCGACTGAAATGCTGGAACATCCCAAGCCAAGCGAGACCAAGTCCACTGGATATTGTTACACTGACATTTTACAAAACGACACTTGAACATCTGTACTGGTACCCATAGGCACGCACCATCGGGGATCCACGCAGGACAAAATACATAAAGGGTTACTTTCGAAACGCCACCGCCAGGTAGATCTACTAGTATAGTAACTTCTTACCCTGAAACACCATCTACATTCTACATTCATCATTTTGCCCGGACTCCATCACACCGCCGGCAAGGTGAAGTGCGAAATTATGACCACAGCAAAACGAGGTTGAACAAAGTGGAGATGACTTACGGTTGAGCATCGATGGACTGAGCTTTTGCCACGAAGTTGCTGGGAATGAAGCCCTCCTTCTGCGTTCGCGTATGTCTAGCCAGCCACCAGTTGGGATCTTCGCCATTCACAAGTTCTAACAAATCATTCTTTTTGAAAGTGAGATCTTCAGGAACGCGTGCTTCGTAGTCGAAAAGAGCCACGAATAGTTTGCTGGATGCGATTGACGGTTGAAGATCTCCGCTACCGCTACTCGTCGCTGTTACAATGGGCAGTTTCGGCGGGGGCTGATTCGGCGGCGGCAGGTTACTGTTGGATAGGTTCGTGGATGCGTTGAATCCGGACGGGTCGCGATGCGCACCCGGATTCGGCACCGTTGTGCTATGTGCGTCTATGGAAGGCTTACTGGAGGGAATTGGCTCGCTAGTGCAGCAACCCATGACCGTCGCCGGGGCCCGATACAGGCCCCGTTTGCTCCGAGACTCCGGGAGCGCACACAAACCAACACTAGAACCACACGTGCTCAGACAACACGAGTAGAGGATCTTTCATGGACGCAGCAAAAATCACGACATTCTGCAGTCTGCACTTCGTCAAGGTAGCGCCAGCGTTCGTGCTCCACACGCTGCTGCCGATCGCTGCTACGAACTATGAAATGCTGCTCACAGCGAGATGGTTGTTGGGCAGAGCAGGATAATACGTTGCTGTTGTGTTTGGCCAGGACAGTGCGCGCGGGCGGCGGCTGTTCTGCTCCACCTCACCCACACCAATTCCAACACACGACAGTCCGGAATACTAGTATGGACGGCTTTAGTTGAGCCAGCCTTGCCAAGAGCAAGGGCGCACCGCAACGAGAAGACGAAGTGTGCCGTGCCCGCTACTACTAGTACTACAGGTACTACTACAACACAACAAATCCTACTTCCAAGTCAGGTACTTCTTACAACTCGCTTTGCCTACTAAATGCGACGCCAAAAGGCAAAACTGAAGAACTGTTACTTCGCACTACGACAGTGCACGATGGATCCCATAAAGAGTCTGGCCACTCTGGGCCGTGGCAGACTGCCCCACACAGTGACAGAACAAGAATCGAATGGGCGCAGCTCAAAATACTCTGGAAATCTGCGTGACGATGGTGACGACGGGCCGTACCCGTGCATACACGTACACGCGCACGGCGCGCGCGCGACCGCGCGTCGCTTTCCTTGCGACGGAACGCATGGCGCATCCGCAGTACTGGACAGACATGATACATGTATGGCCACACGTGACATGTGTACTACATCATGATTGTACAACCAGATCCGCTCGCTAGCGCTAGAAGTAGAAAACCGTCGCACGCGCTGCTATGATTCGGATCGGAGTCGTATGACAGTATGCCATATACTGACTTACTGTCATACGACTCCGATCCGAATCATAGCAGCGTAGTACGACTCCGATCCGAATCATAGCAGCGCGTGCGACGGTTTTCTACTTCTAGCGAGCGGATCTGGTTGTACAATCATGTAGTACACATGTACGTAATCGTTACGTTCCAGACGCGACCGGATACGTATCACGTAGAGGGGGATCTACATGTATCTACATGGCATGCATTGTACACTCGACTCCGGGCCGCGGGCCGGCGCGGGGAGTCCGGCACTCCGGAGCTCGATGCTTTTACTTTTTAGACACCTGCTGATCACCATACCACTATACTGCCACTACTACTGGCACTAGCACGACTGCTTACTATAGTAATAGTATAGAGTATAGTTAGTTACATGATTGTACTGGTAGAGTGGTAGAGTACCGACTGAGCCAGTACTAAGCAGTAGTAGAGGAGATTGTAATCATGAATGGGAGAGAGATTCGAGTTAGCTGTAGCTTCGACTCTCCGCACTTGACTTGAGCAGAAAAGGTCTGATTCAGCTACAACAGCCTCTAGTGGCTCTACTTGGCACTAGCCGACACAGTCACAGAGTCCCTGACCCTGTATCACATGGATACCACGCCTTATGAAGTTATGGATGGTACAGCTCGCTGCAACTCCCGGTGCCGAAAGGCGGGCTCACGCCCCAACATGGCTACTTCCTCTTAGCCTAGCCCTTGTCAAACCCCCAAGACGAAAATGATAGTTGCCGACTGGCCGAAATAAAAATGGTACATGTACAGGGTACGGGGTATCATAACCATGATAACTGACTGGGTCAGCACATGTATACACCACTGCTTGACATGCCGACAGCAGCTAGCAGAGTGTTGCCCAGATTCACTTTGCTAAGTACAACACTCAACAGTCAACAGACTCCAGTTAGGCACCGGCGGATTATGCTCGAAAAGGTGGCAAATTCTGCTCGAAAAGCAGCCATACAAACCTTATGGCGGGCAATTCCTCGAATTCTCTCCGTTTCTTTATACACATACCAAACATGCATGAAACTTACCAGAAAAAGTACCGAATTCTGCCAATTTTTCTGCCGGCATTATCCGCCCGTGCCTAACAAGTAACAACAGTACAAGTAAGTAAGTAAGTTAAAGTCCGGTGACAGTGTGACGGACGGCATGCATCAAGCACTACCCCACGACGGTACGTCACAAACTCACAAGTGTTCAACTGTTCAAGTGTCATACATGTACTAGTAGTAGTAGTAGTAGTAGTAGTAGTAGTAGTAGTAGTAGTAGTAGTAGTAGTAGTAGTAGTAGTAGTAGTAGTAGTAGTATTTATTATTTTACTAGGGCAATACCCACAGACTGTGAGTCTTTTTACAGGGTACCCTAGGTAAGTGCGTGAAATAGAGCTGAATGAAGAAAGCCGTAAGTGCGTGAAATAGAGTAAAGAAAAAAGAAAACGGTGGCTGCATACTGTGCCATTATGTCTTATGTGTTGCAAAAGAGGCTGCGAAGAGTACTGTTGAACATTGCAAAGGAGGCTGCCTGGCGGCATGCTGCTGGAAGCGAATTCCACCTGTCAGCAGCCAGGTAAGGCAAAGCATAGAAACCGTACCGTGACGAAGCATTAGGCAGGGCTAAAGCCAGGGCGGACTGTCCCCTGGTCAAGGCATTGGTATGGTTGCTATTTGATCTAAGTACAAAAAGCTCGGCAAGTAGAGGGCTGCGGCGGCCATGCACACATTTATAGACAAGGCAAAATATCTTTAGGTTATAACGGATGGCGACAGGAATAATTTTGTGGCGTTGACAAATGGTGGCGGTTGGGTGGCATGGTGGGTAGCCAAATGTTATCCTGAGGCTACGTTTGAAGCATCGAATGAGTGTGTTGTATAGGGTTGCTGATATCGTGTGAACGTAGCAGTTGCTGGTGTACTCCATGGTGGATTGGATAATGCTTAGGTAAAAGGAACGTTGTGCCTGGGTGGTGATGTGATGTCGTATTCTGCGGAATGCGGCCAGCTTACGGTTGACGTCAGCAACAACTTTCCCGACCTGCTCCTTGAAGGCAAGGTGCTGGTCGACTAGCACTCCAAGGTAACGGACACACTGGGAAGGGGATACTGGGAAGTTACCACAGATGACAGTGAAGGTAGGTGGAAATGGGGTTGTCTTCCGGCGGACGATTAATAGTTGAGTTTTGTCGGGGTTCAGTAGGAGGCCCAGTTCCGTGAGGTGTGATTTAACCGCATCGAAGCTCTCTGATAGTCGGTCCTGTATCGTGTTGATGCAGCTGCTCGATGTGTAGAGTCCTATATCGTCGGCGTAGAGTATGTTAGATGTGTGAGTTGGTGTGACGTCTGTTACGTGTCTTGTGTAGATTGTGAAAAGAACGGGGCCCAGGACAGAGCCTTGAGGTACCCCTCGACTACAGGTCACGGAGTCGCCGGATGTTTTTTGTGGAGGGGTTCGTCACTGTCTGTCGACGAGCGCTTAGATAGGAGGCGAACCAAGACAGTGCTGTGCCACAAATACCGCAGGAGTAGAGCTCGTTGATGAGTGGCTGGTGCTTGACCCGGTCGAACGCCTTGCTCATGTCCAAGAATAACACTCCGGTGTTCTGACCGTCATCCAAGCGTTGTTGCCACTTTGATATAGCCAGTGAAAGTGCATCCTCTGTGGAATGATCAGAGCGGTAGGCGAACTGTTGGGGAGGAAGAATGTTGAGCTCTGGGTGGGTGTTGATATAGCGCTGCAGTTGATGAAGGACGATCTTTTCTAGAAGCTTGGATACGATGGGGAGTAGAGATATGGGGCGATAGTTAGAGGGACATTCTGGATTGCCTTTCTTGAAGAGGGGGAATACAGACGCTACTTTATATATGTCTGGAAAGGAACCGAGGGATAGTGATTCGTTGAAAATGAGACAGAGGGGACCGGCACTAGTATTTTAATTATTTACTACTCCCTGATTCATGATCATTATCACACATTATCACACAACTGTGATTGAGTGGTCTCTGCATGTTGATCGGGTAGCGGAGTTCCATCACTGACACAGTGTGCGGGTATTGCATTATGAATTGGTTGAGTAGATAGTTCCGGAATTAATTCCGTGTTCGATATTGTATATTTTTTACATATGTTTATTTTATTTTATTCGTGTTCGATATTGAATTTTAATTTTAATTTATTTATTTTTTTACAAATATTGTTTTTATTCCATTTCACATTTTTCATTCGTGTTGGGTTTAACTACTCACTGTACTGATACATGGTGATGATTGTGCTTTGCTTTGCCCGTAAAAGAGGCCTTCCCAACACTGTGTAAATTCATTATCACACAACTCCCACTCATGACGTCATCTCGGAGTAACCTGGTAACCACTGCTAGTGTTGGCACTGGTAACAGAACTGGAATACAGAACCTGAGGTTTATGGTTGTAGTCAGGAGCACTACGTGTCCTCGCCTTGTAACATGCTGTCAAAATCGAAAAACATGTTAGAACCTGAGAAGTAGGCCTACTCAGAAGTCTCACTGTCGGAAGGTCACTGTGCGAGGTAACCAATGCACTGCCACTGGCAATATGTAATCTAACAGACGAGTAGTCTTGCTAGGCAATGCTAGCCCATGCATGGTGCATAATTCCGGCAGAAAAACACGGGCAGAATTTAGGCCTTGACGGATTATGCTAATATTTTCGTGAAATTATGCTTTTCGCATTGCTGAAAAAATTCCCGAATTATGCTATTTTTATGCTAAAAGTTCTCATATTATGCCGCATTATGCTCACATATGCTGCTAATGTACATGATGGTTCTGTGCAAAATAACAGGGGAGTCTTTTGTAGAGGGCGTTGTACTGCAGTAGCAAAAGTTCAACGGGGTCAACGCACCGTCCGACCTAGCTACGAACGTCAATGATTGTAGTGGACTGGACATATTATCAAGGGAGTCGTAAACCTCCGAATTCCTGGTGCATCTACTTGTACTTGTACTTGTAGAACATGTACAACTGTATGGAATTTGATGCGAAAAGGCGGATTATTCCAATTTATGCGATTCGTATGCAATTAGCCTCGGATTATGCGATTATTCGATTTTGGTGGGAATTATGCGAAAAATTATGCTAGCATAATCCGTCAAGGCCTAGCAGAATTACATGTACATGTGACTTGTACATATACATGTAGGCACCGGAGTTTTCTGGTATGTTTCATGCATGTTTGGCATGACTACAATTAATTCTGCTCCATTTCTTTATCCACATACATGTACGTGTCATGTGTGTGGGTAAAGAAATGGAGCAGAATTCAAGGAAGTGTCTCAGCCATATTGGACAGTTCTGCCAATTTCACTACTTTTCAAGCAGATTCTGCCAATTTTAGGAGCACTATCCGCCAATGGCTACATGTAAGTCTTGCTACTGCTATGATTCTACATGTATGTCGACTATGCACTATGACTATGACTATGACTATGACTATGACTATGAGGCTGTGGATTTGACCACTGACCAGTATGAACTATGGGCCTTGCATTTGTCAAGGAACACAGTGTGATGACGAAACAATACATGTAAGTGACTTGTATAGTATGCCACACACACACACACACACACACACACACACACACACACACACACACTTGTACAAAACTACAATGTACATGTACTTGCTTACTGCCTAAACTGGTCACGTGGGTCTCCCCCGGAGAGGGGAGAGAAACTGGGCAAAAGGAATATTAAAAAGATGGCTCGACTGGCTATTGAAGCGCCCTGCGTCCGACAGCCCTTGAAGCCACCACACTCTGGGTGGACTTGGATCTCACTTATGGTCTCACCACACCTCTGTAGTTGTGAGATTTATCCCCTCACCCCCGCTGCATCTGCCGCTGGATTTGCAAGGTGTTAGCGGCCGTCACGAGTTCCCTCGGGACGGAGACGATAATTTCAAGTGACTCTCTTTTTCACACGTCAGTAAGGGTGAGGACAAGGTGCAGAAAAAGGATTGGGAGTATCCGCCCTGGCATCCAACTGCAGTTACCCCTGCCCCAGTGAAGGTAATACTTGCTACTAGTGTGTGTGGTTAAATCAGAGTGGATCTGATACATGTACATGTATGAGCTTCACTAGCACCATTGTAAAAAAGAGTTAATCTAACCAGAATCAGTCCATCACCGGGTCTACAGGTACATGAACATGTACTTGCCAGTATGCATACCTCAAATAGAATTATTTATATGAACCCTGAAACCAACAAAGGTGGCGAGACAGTGATTATGTACATGACTTTGTACAACATTACACCTTCAATTCAATTGCCAGTGCCCGGTCGCAGTGGTCCGTACATGCACTACTAGCACTATACGCAGCCTGAGCATCTAGACAACTGTCTGTACATCACGGTACATCTACATCTACATTGTACATTAATTTTGTGCATGTACATGTACATGTGCAATGTCTGTACATGCATAAGATGTCCGTCACACATTGTCTTGTGCCTGTTACGCAACACACAACACGGTCGGTGTTGAGTCTGTTGACCAAAAGAAGAGTTGCAGTCAAACTGTGAGATGACAGGAAGTCAACGCCTCGATTACCTTGAGACCGCCTTGACCACGTTGACTCGTCTGACATCTGACAGTCATGTCAAACTCGTCCCCTGGTCCTGACCTGGGTTCATTGATTGAAGTACGGATTGCAGACGGTGACAGTCTGACTGAAATAAACAACAAAAAAAGAACATCAGCCGTGGTACACCACGTACACGGATAACCTGGGAGTCGTCAGATAAGTACACTCACACTGCACGACTGTATTTTGCATTTGACGACTTCTTCAAGATACCCAATCTGTAGTTGTCGCTAGCCAGCACGAACACTAACAGCAGCAGCTACGCGGCTCATGCTGGAGACATAACACGGTTTTTTCTCCATCACTCCACAACTGCGCTGGCTCTCCATTACCATAATACTCGCAAGTCTCCATGATCCGGCCGACCTCCACTCCAGTCTCCACGGGTTGCCACTGCCCACTGATCCTGCACATGCACACCATGAGCGCCGCATGCAGCTGCGCAGGCTAGCCATCAGTGCATCACTCAGCAAAGCGACACATCCCAGGTCATCCGGACTTACACCATACTGCGGCATACACTAAAAATTTAAATGCAATGGTTACCATCGTTACAGCTATGGTGCGTTACTTGACAACGGCTGGCATGTTGACGCGCGGTCTTGGAGTTTGAAATCCAGGTACACACGTGTCGATACGTCGGTGCAGCTGCTATGCCCGTTGCATGCACGGGATTTGACGACCAAGGCAAGCGACGCGAGCAAGATACAATCATCATCATACAGACACCGAGTCGATCTACATCATACATGATCTAGCCGTGTTGAGTTCTCTGCCGTAGATCTACTCGTTCTGATCTGCATACTCCCGCCCCAAGTGACTAGTGTGGCAAGACGAATGCAAATTTTTCATTCAGCAGTCATAAAATGAAATTATCCTTCAATCAAGGCTCTCCAACCTAGACGAGAGAATAGTATCATGATGGATACTGTAAGGTAGTTAGACGTGTAGGATGTGGCCGTCCCAGGCTGCCTGGAAGGTGTCCGTTGGGCAAGAAGATTGACGACCTGCGCCTTTGCCCGCAAAGCTACGATCGAATTTCCACACGCCGTCGACATGGATGCTGGCTACACCGAACTAAGCTTCACTCGTTTCTCGCAGCACGGGCCTAATCCAGTGCTATTAGCGTTCGAGGACGAGGTTCTTGAGGCATTGCGAGGTACGAATGTCAGCTACCAACCGGCTGTTCAGAGAAGCACGCCGTCGCATTTCAAAACAGATCCGACTGTGAACGACAAAACCTACGGAAAAAGCGAACTCGTGGCGCAGATCCAGAAGAGGAGGGTCGAATCCGCCGAGAAGCACCAACAGCGCAACAATGGTGTCGCTACTAATGTGATGAATGGATGGGAACTGTCGCATGGCTCGCAGCATAGCGCACCCAGTTTAGCCTTCGGCACCGCCGTCGGTGCCAGTTGCACCATCTCAAGACGGGTGAAAAGCACCGACCAACCGTCGTCGGAGGGCCGAGACAAGCATGGACATCAGCATCACAGCCAGCAGGCGGCATTCGAGTGTCGATGGTAGGTGCAGCATGACACAGGAGTGTCGACGGTACATGTACATGGAGATGCTGCACGTGTATGCACACACACGAAAATCAGTGGGAGGGTTTCATGGCCAATGGCCATACGTACAATCAAGAGCACAGCCATAAACCCCCAGAGTGTGCAAAGTCTGATCCAGCTGTGATATGAATATGAATAAGGTCTTGGTCGAGCGTAGTTGGATCTTCTGACGTCATGCCGCGGTACGCTCCACACCGGTACAAGGCCGGCCTCAAGGCAGGGCACCGTTGTTTTTGATCAGACAGTCCCCGCGACTCCCCTGGTCCCCCTCAGACCTGTACGGTATTATGACGCAAAGATCCGACTACGCTCGACCAAGACCCTATGCAGAGCTGGATCAGGCGTAGCACACTCTGGGGGGGGGGGGGGGGGGTATACTGTTGGTACACTGATGATGTGCTGGACCTGAACTCTGAAGGAGTCCGGTGAAGAGGACCATTCCGGTGAACGGGACCATTCCGGTGAACGGGACCATTCCGGTGAACGGGACCATTCCGGTGAACGGGACCATTCCGGTGAAGAGGACCATTCCGGGACATTCTCATTGAGGCCAGCGCATGTAGCAGTCGACGGTAGATCTCTTCACTGTGTAGAATGGCCTATTGGCAGGGCAATCAACACGCCCACACTCTAGACCCAAGGGGAAACAAAGTGCATCTGAAGTTTCCAACTTTCCAAAACATGATCATACCAGTCAGTACCTGGTGGTCATGTAAAACACCTGTCTAAGACGACAGTGAAACCTGTCTAAGACAACTGAAACCTGTCTAAGACGACCGCTCAAGGGACCTTCAAAATGTGATCTCTGTTAGCACTGAGGTGGTCTCCTTATCCAGGGTCATTTGACTGGAATAGCATCCCTTGATCCTGGTTTCAGTGGTCTTCTTGGACAGGTGGTCGCCTTATCCGAGTGGTCGCCTTGACAGGTATCTTAGCATTTACTTCTACTTGTGTTCATCCCCTGTGTGTGTCATGTTCAGGTCAAACGCCCTGGCCGAAGTCCTGAACAAATACTCTCACAAGCTCCTCTCTCAGAACTACTGCCAGCGAGTGGTAGCCATCGGACACGCTCTCTTTGATCAGAAGGTTAGTGGGCCAGGTGTGGTCTGTAGCACTCCCCTCAAATGCAATAATTGTGTGCTGTGGAGAATGATGGCTGAGAAGCTGGGCTGCTGGATGCTTTGAGTGAGCAAAGTCTTTGCTTGACACGACCAGTTGATAACCAACACGCTGAACACACGGCATGCCTAGTGCAACATTAACTTGGTACCTGGAAACTGACACACTGCGCACTCTCTTCAAGATATGTGCACAGGGGACACGATAAGATTTCGAAATTGCTCTGACACAATGTCCTGCCACTTCTGGAACCGGTCGGACATGGCCGGACACTGATTTTTTTACAAGTCTGGTACTCATAATAAAAAATAATTATTATTGTCACTGAAGTTTACTTGTGAGTTTGAATCCTCTAGTAAATTGTCCTTCTTGGACGTTCTTGTAGAGAAGTCTGGTATGGGTGGTGTAATTACATCAGTGTACCGGAAACCAACGTTCACCGGCTTGTACATTGTTTGACTCCTTTACTGCGAGGTCGTACAAAATTAATCTCGTTCGTAATCTAGTGGATCTTGCTCGTCGATTATGTTCGCCTTCAAAGTTGGATGAGGAGCTGGAGCGGCTACGCACTTTGTTTAATTATTATTGTCTTCACCAATTTCACACACGACACCACTGCATAATGCACACATGCATGTACATGCTACATCACACCGCGGTATTGCTGGTCACATCAAGGATGATCATCACACAGATCTCAAGTAGTGTAACACTGATTCAAATCGCTGTGCGTTTTTCAGCAAACATAGCAACTGTGATATGAGCCTGCAGTGTTTCTGCACATTTCGGATTTGAGCTGGTTTTTCAGCGGCAGATCAAAGATATTCATTTTTACGCAGTCGACAAAAGACAAAGTGGGCACCTGCTTGCCCATTCTAACTCAGTCTTGTTGCCAGCTCCAAGATTGACAACATGTGACTATCACTACTCGAGTTGGCTGAAGGCTCCCATCTTTGCAAACGCGATGTGCTCTTTGAACAGCACGTAGTTTCTACGCGACGTTGAATTTCTGACTAACCTTCGCTGCTGCTGCTGCTCCGTCGATCTTGCACAGCGCCTGTGCAACAGGAGCGTAATTGACTGGATTTGCAGTAGACTGCTCCTTTCGATAGACGCATATCGCAAGCTGGCACTCATTTCTGACGCCTTGTTTCCCTGGAACAGGGACGTTTTCAATATTTCGGATTGTACAAGCGTCTCGCGTAATAGTTCCTATTGTAGCGAGAAAGCGAAGAAATTTCATTTCAAAACTCCTCGATCGTTTGCTACGCTCAAACTGGAGCTACACTGAAGTGGACAGCTCCCTGTCTTGCTGTGAAACCCTCTTGTCACAGGTTGCTGCTCCGACTTCGTGAGACTTCTTCCCAGGCAGAGCGTCATTGTCCTCAGCCGTTCTCTTTCCCAGCGACGCTATTTTGTGAATTTCGATCGGACAAATTGTCCGTTCAAGAAAAAAAGCACCGGATTCGGATCGAAAATGGTCGGAAAATGTCCGATGTCCGACCGTTATCGTGTCCCCTGGTGCACAACATTTCAAAAAGCATCCCCGTGACCATACTAGTGTGAATGCAAATATGGGAGGGGGGGGGGGGGGGGGAGGGGGATTTTGCATCATAGTACCGGTGTCAGTTAGACATTGTCAGAAAGATAGCATGTCAGTGACAACTACAATGACAATTAGGAGAAACATCCAAGCCCAAACCAGTGCATATCACCAAGGAGAAGCGGAGCCAGGAGTGTGTAACGTTGGGCAAATTACAGGCATGCATGTGGAGACCCATAGAGCTTCAATTTCATTGTATTTTGTGCGTGGCACGGTGTTTGCGTCCATGTGTGTGTCCATGTGTGTGTCTGTCTGTGTGCATGTCGGTTTGCATGCACATACTCCCACTGGTGTTCTAGCACTATGGAGCGGCAGTGACCCTCTGCTACTCAAGACTTGCAATCAAATCTTACATCAAGCCTCACCCACGCTCGCGCTCATCGTCCGCAAGCAGGCATTTGCTGAGCGAAGGCAGCGAGAGCCAGATTCGGAATGACAGTGAAAGGATGGAGTCGGAGAGCAAAGGAAAACAATCAGATACCTCAAGCACAGACTTGGACGCCCTGTGCGGTGGTTCTGAGCTCGTTCAGCCAGTGGTGAGGACACGTCTCTAGAACAAACCAATCCTTTGCGAATTTGATCGCATACTCCTTTGCAGCCGTTTGCACATTGCTTACAGTTCTCTAACTTGAACGGTCTCAGCTTCACTGTGAACGACTGATTTTCTCAATTTACTAAATAGTTGGCCCTGACCCATCATCATGTCATCAGAGTTTGGAAAAACAAGGACATGGATGACAAACAAGGACATGGATGACAAACAAGGACATGGATGACAAACAAGGACATGGATGACAAACAAGGACATGGATGACAAACAAGGACATGGATGACAAACAAGGACATGGATGACAAAGGGTACTCATAAGTTATGCAAGCATGGTGACAAATAAACACTGCAAAGACCAGATGCGAATGTGGATATTGAGGTGGTGCAGTAAGTACTTCGAAGTAAGATTAGGTGGTGTAGATATTAGCGGGAGGGTGTGGGAGAGGAAGCTGCGCAGAATCTCACAATACAGATGTGCAGAAAATGTGCTAGATTGGCAAAATGCTACGTTGTCTATCTCCAGGCACGAACAATCATGCCGACAGAATTGTCCATGTTGATATCTGCGCAGTAAGAGTAACAAGGCCATGTGTCGAAAACAAAAGACAACACCACATATTAACACCTACTTATTCAGACAAAATGCTGCGCATATCTACTTCAAACCTGGTCCAGAAGCCTCACTGAAGCGGGCGCAAGCCACAGGTCTTGTTCACAGACAGGTATTCATCTCGACTAAGTATTGAGTCACGGTTGTGGCTATTGATAAGAGATGGCAGGGTTGCGAGAATCGAGGCACTCCCCCCCCCCCCCCCACACACACCCACCCACCCACCCTACCAGTCATATCTACATCACCTACGCTTACTTACTTGCTTACTGCACCTCAATTTCCACATTCACATCTGGATGTCAGTCTTCGTAGTGTTTATTTGTCACCATGCTTCCATAGGTATCCTTCGTCATCCATTTCCTTTTTTTTTGCGACTGAGTTTGCTGGAGGCACAGGCCCGAGAGGGAGGGAGGGAGGTAGCGAATTATGAGTGATAACGAACATTGATTATTGTTTTTGTGGAAGAGGATTTCCTGAATGGGTTAAACGGTCACGTGTGGTAGAACCAACGCAGGTCTCAAGCGGCACGTTTATGTGTTGTAGACTGTATCAGTAGCCTTGCTGGTCCTCAGTCTTACAAGGCAAATTGTAGCCGTACGTACTGGTCCTCAGTCTTACATAGCAAGTTGTAGCTGCTGGTGTTCACTCTTGATGCGGTGTTTCTATTCCTTTCCGACGGTGCACTTTCCGCTGCCTTTCCAGGTGGAATGTACTACAGGGTATCTTCGCTGTCAGTACGAGCTGCTAATGCTCAAGGATCCAACGTATCAGGTACTACTACTCTACTGTATTGCAGTCTGGTACTACCACCCTACCAGTGTATTGCGGTCTGTGGAGGTTATGTCTCTGGCACCTGATACGCCGGGTGTGTGTGTGTGTTTTTCAATTTGTTTGGAAGTTGCTGCGTACTCTGCTATGCAACAAACGTGTGGTTTGCCGTACCTCACATTTCCATCTGGTAATACCAGTCTGACATGTCTGTAGATATCCGGGCCAATAGGCATTGGAAGTGCTACATCGCATCCCAGCCGGAGCCACGGCGGCAATGCTGACAATTGAATGCACTTGGGTCCTGTTTTTGTGTGGGCATACACTGTTTACCGTTTAATCGGACCCATTCACAGCAGGGTGATACCTCTGATGTAACTGAACTAGATCCTGGGCATCAGGTTGGGCCCGGGGGGGGGGACTGTGGGTAACATCATCCCACCAGCATGTGATTCGAGAATCCAGTCATTGCTATCACCATAATCCAGACAGCCGCCAACCACTGTAACCAGAACGGTTATTTTGTTATGACTACCCAGCCATGCTTGACCGTGACATGGTTACTTTGAATTCTTCATCCAGTTGGGATTCTTTATATATATTCAGTTTGGAACTGTGGCGCAACTGTACACTTAACCACTGAATGCAAGTTCTCGAGTACACTGTATTTCGGTTATAAGTCAACCTATTGTGACCTAAATAGTACCGAATTTAAAAAAAAGGGGGTAATCGACTTATAACCGGGGTTTAACCGCCATTGATCATATTGATATAGAACCGGTAAATCGAGACCCCAAGCCAATTGGGGCTCCACTCATAGCCAGTAAAACACGGTACATCCAAGGTGAAGTCTGTCTTGTTGTTGCACCCTCCCTGCAGAATCCGGAGACAAGAGAGATTGCCCTACAGCTGCTGGAGAGTTGGCAGGCAGTCGGTCAACCGCTTGTCTCTCGTTACAGCCTTTGCTGGATTGCGTACAATGGTTAGACAATTTTAGTCTGCTATGACTCACTATAAGCATCAATACCAATGGTTCAAGGATTCATAATCGCTATACAGAAAGCTCTGTGCATACGATTGTGTGTCTCGTATCTCTTCGGCTGTTCCGAGTTGGACTCGTCTAGCACTCGTTTGCTCCAGAGCCGTGCAGACTTTTTCCACTGGTATTCACTAATTGCTTGCGTGTTGCATGTGCGGGCATGTCCCCCTGTAAGCCTCTGACTGTGGTTTGCGATGTGTTGTTCGTTGTTTGTTGCTGCAGTCATTGTCAACATCTACAAAATATCACAGGACATGATGACACGCGGATTCACAGCTGAGGTATGAAGCCATGTGACTTGTCCTGTCCTCCTCTACCAATTACCCCCTCCCCCTCCCCCCCCCCCCTGCCCCATGTACCCGCTTACACTCCCCCCCCCCCAACAATCTGTAAAATCATGTTATTAATATTATACGAGCATGAGTTTGGCACTCATTACAAAGCATACACGGTGGTATCACTTACATGCCCTTCATAGTCAAGATGCTGCCTCTAGGCAAACTCGCATTCTACTGTTTCTAGTACTACACCTACCCAATGCTGTAGACAGCTAGCTGTTTCGGCCATAGAGGCCTATAGGCCTCAGCAGTACAGCTATGAGCTTCAAGTAAGCCGAGCTACCGGCCATGGTGCAAAGGTGACACCGCAGACATTTTAAGATGACTCGTTGCCCTAGCGCCAGAGTGCTCTAACTACGAAAAGTAGCGAGGGATGTGTAATTCAGCAGCACTAGAACAGCCTACCGAGAGTGCTCAACAAGACGAAAGCCGAGGAGCGTAATACCCAATGCTGCAGACATCAAGCCAATTTCTACACCTATTGACAATTTGTTGGACAGAAAATCCTAGCTACCGCCCTACAGAGTTAATCCATGATATATTCAAAACCCCACATTAAGTGAATAATAGCAAGAAGGTAGAAGAGAAGAGCTAGAGAGAAAAGGGTAAGCCAAGGAGGAGTCCAGGTGGGCAAGAGAAAGGAAAGATGAGAACATTGAAAGGATCGGTCACGCAATACGGTTAATTCCCGTCGTGGATAGGATAATTATTCAAAGCCCTACAGAGTGCTGTATTGTTTTGCCATGATTTGCTCTTGTTCAGGTACTGCCAAGTCTGCTGTGGTGTTCATTGTTCATGAAGCACTGTGTGCCGTTGAGGCTGGTGCGCTACGTACGACTGCGTACTCAGATCACACTGTCCGTGTGTCATGGCTACATAGCATTGCGGTATCCACTACGTACGGAGGTGAGGCACAGGTTTGTCATGCGTACATTTCACATACAGTAACAACTGTGACTAACGACCACCCCTTGGGGCCAGAGAAAGCGGTCGTTAGTGGCAGGTGGTCCTTAGTTAGAGGTTTGCACCGCACAACCGTATATGAATGTGAGACCGTCCGTGCCTGGCGAAGTGGTCGGTAGTACCAGGCTGGTCGCTAGTCACGGTGGTCTGTAGTACCAGGCTGGTCGCTAGTCACGGTGGTCTGTAGTACCAGGCTGGTCGCTAGTCACGGTGGCCTGTAGTACCAGGCTGGTCGCTAGTCACGGTGGTCTGTAGTACCAGGCTGGTCGCTAGTCACGGTGGTCTGTAGTACCAGGCTGATCGCTAGTCACGGTGGTCTGTAGTACCAGGCTGGTCGCTAGTCACGGTGGTCTGTAGTACCAGGCTGGTCGCTAGTCACGGTGGTCTGTAGTACCAGGCTGGTCGCTAGTCACGGTGGTCTTTAGTACCAGGCTGGTCGCTAGTCACGGTGGTCTGTAGTACCAGGCTGGTCGCTAGTCACGGTGGTCTTTAGTTACAGGTTTTACTGTGTTTGTATTCTCTTCACTCTATGCAGTGTGGCTGGTATTAGCAGTCGTCATCAGTAGTTTGTAGGACTACAACGGTGGGAGCTAGCCGTTGGCATATCTGTGTGTGTTGAGGGAGGGAGGGGGGTAGGAAGTTTTTCTTTTCAAGCCTCGCAGTGTCGTGCATGTCACGGCCAGAGCAGACGGTATTTCTTGCCGAATCTTCACGATCGGTCAATGTCCAAGTCCGGAATGGTGACTCCCGTCTCTTATACATTTGATATTACCGCATACAAACACAGCAGCTGAATGATTGACTCTCCGACGTTGGCCATTTCACAGAATTCACTTGTTTTGCACCGGGCTTCAGCCCCATTTCCACCTTCCGACCGTTGAGTGAGGAATAGACCTCCAAGAGATGAGAACTCAGTTTGATTGACAACAACAACAAGATGAATATCTCTGCAACAAAGACATACCAAGTCCGCATAAGATGGCCATAGCAGTTGTATATTCCACGGAAGTATAATAATTGATTTTTGGAGCCCTGCTACCTTGTTGCCATGGAATTCACAGTAGCTTTTCTGTGTTGCTCTACACACATACACACACTGCGATTCAGGCCATCGCACAGGAAGCTCTGAAGGAGATCCAGTGGGTGGTGGAGATGGAGAAGAATGCCGGTCGACAGCAGGCGGTGGCAAGCGCTATGACGGACTTGTCCACTGCATGTATACAGGTACGTGTGTTTGCATACTCTCTTGGTTGAGCGGAGGTACTGGGCTATCGATCACACCGCATGGCTTCATGGCCCTGTGAATGATTAAAACACAATCGAACAAACTCTGAACAAGAGGTAGCGGTACGGCAGGCAGCAGGTAGAGCATTCCTGCGAGCAGCAGCAGCGAGAAAGGATATGGTGTTCACTGTTGAGGCCATGTCTAGAACGAGCAACAGGAAGTGCAGGCGTAAGGTGGCCAGATGGCTATCAATTACTTACTTGGCAAACATGCTCATATCCACTTTGTCGTCTGGTCTTCACTCCGCCAATCACTTGGGGTGACTGAACAGTCCTGTGCAAATACTAACTTCATAACTCTTCCACTGCATACCTATTGTCTGTATATGTACGTATTTCTGCTCCTCTGCCTTGTACCTCCCATGCAGCTCAATATGATGCTGTTTCGTCGCACGGCATTCAGCTCCAGGAAGAAGCAGCGCGGCGTTTTCCGACAGAAGCCATGCACGACAATGAAGGAGTTTGAGAAGGTTAGGCCACAGGCGACTGGTGTCACTATCACATTTCACTTTATGAGTAGAATTGCTGGTTTGAAATCCATTACTACAGTAGAACCTGTCAAGAACGACCACTCTGATAGGGAGATGACCTGTCCTAGAGGACCACTACAGCCTGGACCAAGGAATGGTATTTCTAGTTGAATGGCCTTGGATGAATCAAAGTGATTTGAAGTAAATAGTGATAGTGGCACTGGTAGTCTATGACCACCTGTACACAGGGACCACGTCTGAGCGGTCCAGCGGTCGGCTTAGACAGGTTTTGCCGTGGTAAGCTTTATCAATACGATAAAACCTGTTAAGGCGACCACTCGGTTAAGGCAACCACCTGTTCTAAAGACCACTGAAACCAACACCAAGGGCTGCTATGTCCAGTCAAATGACCCTGGATAAGGACACCACCTGGTAACAGCGACCACGTTTTTAGGTCCCTTGAGCGGTCGTCTTAGACAGGTCTCACTGTGCAATGTAGTCTCAAACCCTGGCAGACATGCAGGATGGTGCTTGCCTGGAGTCGGTCATTCTATGGTACCATATGGCAACTAAACAGGCATGTATTAACCCTATTATTGAATGGGCTTCTTGCACCCAGCAATTAACTGATCTTCAGTAGGCCAGACCTAGAGACACTTGTTGACTTTGAGGTGGAGAAGGAGGGGGGGGGGGGGGACCTCTCCCTGATTAAAAATTGTCATCATGACTTTACCATGTACCAGCGTGTGAGTAGAGAGCCATGCTCCCGCATCCCTCTGTGCAAGGAGCACGACATGCTTCCAGAGCCTGTAATGCCTAATGTTTGCATTTGCATTCCGCTTGCTGTGCAGCAACTTTGGCCGCGTAACAAAACCGAGCGCCACCTCATCCAGTCGATTCCGTGGGGTAAGGGAGCCCAGCTGCTGACACTGCTCCTGGTGATGGATGATCCACAACGGAGAACGCTGCACTCCTTTCGTCCTGAAATAATGTTCTACATGCAAGATAAGGTACATGTGTGTGTTGTAGTACGTTATTATGTGTACGTCATGTGTATGTGGTGTTGGTGCATGCGCGTGTTGCTGTGGTGTGAAAAGCTGTTTCCGTCTTCAGTTTGTCTTGGCCAGTTGTGTTTCCATCTTCTTGTTGTAATAAACAATCTTTCGAATGTAGCTATCTCGTCATTTGTCCAAGTATGGAGATGGCGCAGGGCTGGGCGTAGAAATGAGGAAAACCTCTGACAACACATGTACCAGACAAGGCTTCAGCAAAAACTTCAGCAAAGGCTTCAGCAAATGCTTCACAAATGGGTACTGGTATCATGTAGCGATGCTAATCATCATCAGGGGTTGAGCTAGACACATTAGAACAATGAACACGGGGCTAAGTTAGATGTAAATCTCGGGTGCACACGGTGCTTGTTGATCGTCAAACATATACAACTCATTCTGATTTGGCCCTTGGAGGGTGGCGGCATTTCCACGGATGCGGATACTCAGTCTAACCGAGGCTCATGCGCACCGTGATATTTTCATTTGATTTCCAGTGTTGCGGTGTGCATGGTCTATCAACATTGCACGACGGCAAACACATCAGTGCTCTGAAACCTCCTTTATTTATGCCAAATCAACTCTGCCTGTACCAACAGCAAATAGATACACCAACAGACCAACCAACCGCGGAGAGTTGTTACACCGTGGGTTAATTCAGTGTGTGCTCATCTGTTATTCTTGATAATCCAGTGGGATCGCGACGAGACCTTTGACGGTGGCAGGGAATCTCGCCAAGGCCAAGGCGACAACGCAGCATTGCAGCGGCAGCCGAATGACGTCTCGCTCCAGACCGGGTCGGGGAGCGACGTCGACACTAGCCTTCTGATGGACATCTGGCACGAGCTGTTCTACGCGGCTGCCGAGATCGTAGCCATGTCAATGCAGACGAACACGTGCCTCGGCGAGAACACGTGCACTTGGCTGGATGGCTCTCGTCGCGTCAGTCAATTGGACATGGCCATAGATAAGGACGGTGAGTTCGCGTACCGTCAACCTTGAAAATAGCGACCCTCAATAATTCATGAGAAGTGCCGTTATTCACGAGTTGTTATTCGTGAGGTTGCAAGTGTGCAGTAAAATAATCACTAGGTCTGAAGGTTGTGTCGTTGCTTGCGAGTTGTCGTTATACATGTACCCAAGGAGGACGTTATTCACGAGGGTGACTTTACATGAATTGCTCGTATCCTCTGCTTCAGATGCATGTCGGCAACTTTATCACCTGACAGCTAGCTCTTTGAGCCCGTTTACATACAATAATGCTCTGCTCTACGTTAAAGGAACGCAACACCAAAATTTGAGTACTTGGGTCGTGTGGCTTCACATATCGCAAAGAAGATGGTCTGCTCTGCCTTGCGGAGATATCATGTCGAAAACGTAGTGAGGAATTCCCCTTTCCAAATGTTCTCAGTTTTCTGATGACCTGCTCCCAGATCCAGGTGATACACAGCGTATCCGTACAGTCCATACGGTATTAACCAGACACAGGTTTTTTTACATTTATTCTCTACAATGCATTTGGTGTAAAGTAGAGCCTGAGGGCACTGAGGGCCCATTTTCGGGTTGTTTGTGCTTGTCTGTCGTGTGGTGTTCTTCACTAGCTTGCGATGTCATCACATCCGAGTCTGCTGTGCGTCTGGTCAAGTTCTGCTACTGTTACGAGATGTGGGAATCGCTGGACTATCTGATGACACCCATGCTCGAGTGCCTATCGGTGAGCATTGCCCTGAGCACAGTTACGTACTGGCTGAAAGGAGTTTGGTACATGTTCTCCCATGTGTCCAGAACAACACAATGGGACCATTTGTTAATTCCGATATTTGTTATAGCAAAACCTGATTGTGTCTTCAGTGTTGCTGATTGTGAGTAGCCATGGTGTGACAGGGAGTGGGTAGGCATAGTGTGACAGGGAGTGGGTAGGCATGGTGTGACAGGGAGCATCATCATAGGTTGCCAAATTTGTGGCCATTTTCCAATTTCAATGACCTCTATCAAGTTTCTAATCTGCAACATTCCTGGCTCTTCCTCATTGTGTACATATACGTTCAGAAAAGTGAGTCCACGGCGGACTTGGCCTATTGCAAGCAGCTTGAAATCATCTCAGCTGTCAGATGCATTCAAGGACAGCTAGATTCAGCCATCCAACAGTCCCTCTTAAGGAGAGTTGCCTTTGTCAAGAGCACTAGCTCTGCGGAGATCAATCTGCTCAACCCACCGAAGAAACGTGAGTGCCAGCTATGATCAGCAATACCTTCTACTGTAAGAGCACAGGAAATGTGACCCTGGGTCTTTGGGCTACGTTTGAATTTAATATCCTGGGTGCCATTTGTGAACTGGTTGGGGATGCCTCCTCCTCTTTCCCTTTTCCTCCTCTTCCTCCTCCTCCTCCTCCTCCTCCTCCTCCTCCTCCTCCTCCTCCTCCTCCTCCTCCTCCTCCCCTCCTCCTCCTCTTCCTCTCCCTCCTCCTCCTCCTCCTCCTCCTCCTTTTCGTCCACCTTCTCATCCTCCTCCTCTAACTCCTACTCATCTTCGTCATTCCTTCGGTTTCAGTGAAGTGTTAACAGGGATTTCCCCTGCAATATGCACACTGTGGGACTTGTATGTTCCATTAAAGCTAAGCTTCAGTTCAACTGCAACTGCAAAGGTATTCACTGATATTCCTTGTTTTCCCCATTGATCAAAATTGATCAAATTCCCTATTCCTTCCCAGTTGTCCTATTCTTCGTGTTATTTCTCCTCAGTCTATGCTCACTTTGCATTCTCATATTCTCATCCTAACTGTACAGAAATGGAGACCGCCTCGATAGGCCTAAACGGCCTTGAAATAAATTACACAATGTGTTCTGCCAAGTTGGTAGCTACGGTGAATCTGTGTTCCTTGTTGCTTCACATCAAGGAGCCACCCGTCCATCCTTGCGATAGCAGCCGCTAGCTATGCTTTGTCTGTGTATGAGTACTTGGGATAGCAGCCGCTAGCTATGCTTTGTCTGTGTATGAGCGGGGTACATGTATTTGCACTTATCTACATCACGTATTGCAAAACCTCTCTAGAAACCGAGGCTCATTTCCATTAGGACTTGTGCTGCCCCTTACAGCTCTTAGTGGAGAGAAGCTGGAGGCTCTCGGATACTTGGCTAGTGTCCTGGACTCGTGTCTACTTGAACCCCTGAAGGTTAGTCATGTGATTACACATTTTGTCTATATCTATATCTAGTACACTCGTACCTCGTTTATCCGGGCGGTCCGGGACCGAGCACTGCCCGTAACTTTGAAACGTCTGTAACTCAGAATCACATGCATTTTGATGGGAAAGGCCATAGATATGGCATATGACGTCACTATTTCCACAAAAGTGAGAAAAGAGTAGTAATATCTCCACTGAAACTCGCCCAAAGCGGGCCCAGTAGACCGAAGTGCCTGTAACTTTGGGGTCCGGATAACCGAGGTATGATTATGTGTAACACCATAACACGATGTCATCCTTTGGTAACTGCCCAGGTGTAGAGAAGATAACAGCTGGCACATACTAGTAGCTACTCATGGCCTGATGTAGTTGAACACCTCCCCGGATCAATGTGAACATGATCCCAGCCATGCTCATATTAGTTATCTAACTTATCTTCTTCTCTGTTCTGTTTGTCCGCATATTTTTATATGTTTTTTTCTTTTCTCTTATTATCAGTGGGACCATTGTCATTAGGTTTAGGCCTGTTTTGGAACTCCACTCTAAATAAAGCCAAACAACAACAGCCATTCCGGATAATTGATAATCTTGATGGACGATGCAATACCATATATCTCAACTGTTCTTTTAAATCATTTTGATGTGTTTTGCTGGTTTACTCCCCGTGGCGCAGTCATGCAAAGATTTGGACAATGATCTGGTCAACGATGCTCTATTGCTCCTATGGGCATGTGCGCATGCGTTCTACTCGCAAATCACTCAGATGTCCCAGTGTACCCATGTGCTGGAGGATGACGACTTGGCCTTGGTAAGCCGTGACCTGGGTAATGTTGTTACCATGTGTATGCATGTATCAGAGGGGATGGTCCTGGAATCCACATGCATGTATCAGAGGGGATGGTCCTGGAATCCACATGCATGTATCAGAGGGGATGGTCCTGGAATCCACATGCATGTATCAGAGGGGATGGTCCTGGAATCCACATGCATGTATCAGAGGGGATGGTCCTGGAATCCACATGCATGTATCAGAGGGGATGGTCCTGGAATCCACATGCATGTATCAGAGGGGCCATTGTCCTGGAGCCCACTGCTGGAGTGTACATTGTACATGGTGTACTGGAACTCATTGTGGACAGTCACACTGTATGAGATCGGCAAAGTACTACCAAAAGAAACCGGCTGTTGCTTCTTGTTTGAATTGATAAATGGATGAGCTTGGTGGAACTCGATATCGATATTGATAGGGTGCCGAACCCAGCATTAATTTGGTCATTCAACCACTTATATGTCTTGACTGAGCTCAAATGGAAGAAGCACATGGTAAAATATCTTCCTTCTGATGTACATGTGTGTTCGCATGTGTATGCTTGTGTATGTTTGTGTGTGTGTGTGTGTGTGTGTGTGTGTGTGTGTGTGTGTGTGTGTATGTGTGTGCGCATGTGTGTGTATGTGTGTGTACATGTGTGTGTGCGCGCATGTGTATTGCTCTTGTGTTCAGTGGCTTCACATTGGTCACACCATGGTGCAGGGCATGGACGCGTTCGGTCTGGCACGACACGACCACAACCTGTTCTGCGAGGTGTCTGTGAAGCTTGCCCTCCTCATTGACACCATTGCTGGCGCTGGCCATGATGGCATGCAGCAGAACCCTCCACTGGGACTGGCAGATCTATTGACTGAGATTGCTGTGCCTGCAGCGGCCACTCCTGAAATCTCATTGAAAACCACTCACCGACGTCCAGCTAGTCTGCTGCTTCGATTCCCCGAGGTTGTGACCCTGCGGCACCAGTCTCAGTTAAGAATGTCAGGTACCGGCGCCAGGTCCATTGTCACACAGACCAGCCAGCATTCCGGTACGCGGGCCGGAACGCGGACCGGAACACGGGCAGGAACACAGGCCGGAACAAGGGGCAGTGGACCTTCAGTACGGCCAGGCACTCGCATGCTCCTGTCGGGAAAACAGTCCGCACAGTCCTCGTCCGCAGCTGGTAGTCGAGCTACGTCCAGATCTGGTAATGTCTCCCATACGGACTCTGCCTCTCGCTCCGGCACGGGTAGACAGTTAGAGAGCGTGCCCGAAGGGGATAATGCAGAGAACAGGCAGCATGCTGATGTTGACAAAGGCAGTGACCAAGCAACACTGGACAATGCAACTCTGTCTGAGAGCGCGCCCCCGACAACGACGACAACGACCGACACGTCACAGCAATCGAGTACAGCACAGCTAACGGACAGTGCATCTCGCGCAGGAACTGAATCCCACTCGGGACAAGCGTCCCGCTCTAGGAATGTGTCTCGCACTGGAAACGCTTCCCGATCCAAGATTGCATCGCGATCCGGGAATCTGTCCCAAGCGAGCAGCTCATCTCGCCTGGCCGGTGCACCATCAACCCGGGAAGGTAATGCCAAGCCGCGGCCGACTTCAAGCACAGCTGCCACCAGCCAAGGAACAAGAGCGGATGTACGACACCCTGGCCAGCCTGCAGGCTCAGCCAACTCTCAGCAAGCACCGGAGGAGGAGGACGATGATAGCGATTCCCCAGAACCTGAGATCCAGGAGGACGCACTTAGTCTATCAGCAGCAGGTGGTGGAAAGGCCAAAACGGCGCGTACTGTTCCACCATCAATACACACTACACCGGGACAGCACGTCCGATTGCCGGAGATCAAATCCACGTCGATAACCACCCAGCCTGCTGAACCCAGTACAAGGTTGGCTAAGGATTCCTCCGGTGCATTGGTACCTGTGGACAATAGAACACGCAGTGTTGTCCGACAACAGTCAGCTGACAGCCGCCCATTCAGCTCCGCTGAGGCTCTCAGTGGCAGTGCCATGTCAGCAAGCTCTACGCGGCGCTCGTCTGCAGCCGGTACGTCGGTGACCTTTCTGGACGTGGCCACACGCTCGTCGTCTCGCAGCACCTCGCGTGGTGCACTCTCCAGAATGGATAGCCAGTCAGTGGTTCCATTTGGCTCTAGCACGAGCGTTCTGACGACTATATCCGAGGAGCGCTCCGATAGCTCGAAAACGGGAAGCCGCGCCTCGCCGCCAACTGCCGGTGACGAGGCCACACGGGCTGTGTCCGTGCCAGTCCCGGTCAAGTTTCCACCAACGCTGGTCATGCTGAGGTTTGCGGAGACACTGTTGCAGCGCGTTCTCCACATTCTGAACACTGTCGGCAGTCTGGACAGCTGTCACCGGTTAACGTCGGCCGATGGAGTATTCATGGTTAGTTGGAGAACATGTACAGTACTGAACAAAGAAATTCAACCTCGTGAAGAAAATAGCATTGCCGGGCACTAGCTACGCAGCCCTAGCACTACACATACTGGTCTGTGCACTCGAACACGGCGCTACTTTATTCATGAGGTTGGATTTCTCTGGTTGGAACTGTATATGCATATTGTGTTTGCGCACGTGCTCATATGATTATGCGTGTGTGCATGTGTATGCGTGTGAGATTGACCATGGCTCGCCAGCATTGACTCTCCGCCTATTCTGGTTCTGGTTCCCTGTCACAAGGCACTGATGTGGAGCTATGGGGCAGTCATGCTGTAGTGTGTGTGTGTGTGTGTGTGTGTGTGTGTGTGTGTGTGTGTGTGTGTGTGTATGTGTGTGTGTGTGTGTGTATGTGTGTAAAAAATATTTTTTGCCGAGAGGAAGCAGATTTGTTAGTTCCTGGTTTTCTCTTTGTTGGCCTCCTCCACGGGGCGCCCTGGCCTTCTGGTCAGGGTCGTCCCTGGGTATTGACTGGCAGTAGGCTTTTCATGCCTTGCAGCCGGTTTGCGCGCACGCGCGGAAGGACATTCAGTGAGCTGACGACCAGGGCGGGTAATTTGTTGCTGTCACCGTCTTCTTGCGTCCTTTCCGCATCCTCCACAGTGGTGTGGCGAGCCCTCGGATCAACCCCCAGCCAAAAACAATGCAGTGGCGTTCGGCAAAGCAAGTGGACTCCTGGATGAGAAAGGAAACAGGTCGGACTCGCAGAAATTTCTTCCTGCGCGGTGTATCGCCGGAATCGTGAATTTGTCCTTGGCCGTGTTGTTTGGACCTGAGTGGCCAGTCGTCGTGCGGCGATGGTGTAGCGTTATTAGCTTGCTGTGCACACTGCTCATCGCTCGTGAAAGTACGTCTTGTGGAGCCCTTGTGGGACGTTCGGTGCCCACACTCCAGCTCAAGATTGTGTTTTCCTCATTGACGAAGGCCGAAGCAGCACGCGTACAGACGTTTGTTGAACAGAACATCATGTTCACATTTATTTTTTATATTGTTCCTTTTCAGTCGTTGCATTTTATAATGGACCTGCAGCAGACTGTTCGTCTGGTTTGTGATATTTCTTTCCTCTGTTGGTGAGTTCTTTTCCATCAATATGGCAGCTTGTTTTGATTTCCTTTTTTCCAATTCATTCTGCTGTACTTCCTGTTTTGTTTTGCGCCACTGCCCCTCACCTTGCGCTCAGTTCTCTGAGTGGAGGGCGGGGTAACCCCACTGGGGTAACTGATTGATAGTAGTAGCAGTGGCGGATCCAGGGGGGGGGGGGGGGGGGGGTTCCGGGGGTTCCATGGAACCCCCTAAATTTTGAAAAGTGTACTGCTGAGAAATATCGAAAATATCATGTGTGCACAAGAGGACGTCCGTCCGATCACAGTGCAGTCACCGAGTCAAGGAGTACAGTCAGTGCACTGCATGCGGTAGATCGATACTGTACGTAGTCTACTGGTGTTCACGTCCGTGATTTACAAACGGACACTGTCTGTAGACAACATTGGGTGGTTGTTTCCTTTTTGATCTTTCGAAACGATCCAAACTTACCTCCATTGGCGCTGTCATTCACTGCTGCTCTGGATGGGTGTGATCAGTATTCCTTGGACAAGTTTTTTTTCGGAAGAGAAAGGATGTTCCGATTGATGACACTCTTCAACGAACTTCGAATGGTATACGTAGAATTCAAGCTCCTCAGAAGATGAGGGCTCCGACATCCAAGCAAAGTCAGTAATCTCTACCTGCTGCAGCATGCAGTAGTGGCTACTGTAGTTGTTCCTCCGCAGGAACGGAGTGCTGCGCCAGCGATGCGTTTTAGATGACATTGGAAGGATTGTCGACACTGTTTCACTGTTTTCTGTCAAGTGAAGACAGTGCTCCTGTGACTATAGAGCATTTCTCATCGTAAAAATGCTTAAAATTTCCGAAAGTACAAATGGACAGGGAAAGTTGTCATTTCGGTATTGCTGACTCTCAACGTACCAATGGCTTGCATATTCGATCTTTACAAGAAGTTGAAAGGGTCTTCAAGCCCTCACTGAACCTGTGTCCCAGTCGATTATATTATATGATTACAAAGGTCAAAAAGAATGGTTTCACCAATTATATATATATTATACATACCCAATGCTGTAGACAGCAAGCTGTTTCGGCCATAAAGGCCTCTACGTTGTAATGCTGCGTTTCATGCACGTAGCTAAATGCTAAGGCAATCATCAGACAACTAACAACTAACTAATTAGTTGTCTGATGATTGCCTTAGCATTTAGCTACGTGCATGAAACGCAGCGTTACAACGTATGTATATAATTGGTGGACCCATTCTTTTTTACCTTTGTGGTTACGCTCCGCCCTTGTGGTGTTGAGCACTGTTGAAACCTGGGTATACCCACTTATGTATATATGATTATGTGTTCGTACTAAATATATACAATGTAGGGTAAGCAGCAGCATTTGGCCCTGTACAGGTTTTCCATCGTCCACCACACCACAACTGTGCTCCGACTCAGTCTCCAGCGATGGTGGTGTGCTGTGGTAACGTGTCGAGGCCGGCTGAAGAGCGCAGTTGTGGTGTGGTCGATGATGGAAGAATATTATTATGTTCGTAGTGTGTTTAAAAGCATGCGATTCCAACTAACACAATCGGATTGTCGTTATTACAACCGCACAACTTCAAAACAATCTGATTCCATAATATTTTGGATGTTCAATTTTGGTTCAACCGGAACCCCCCTGTCGAGATCTCTGGATCCGCCCCTGAGTAGTGTATGTGTGTGTGTGTGTGTGTGTGTGTGTGTGTGTGTGTGTGTGTGTGTGTGTGTATGTGTGTGTATGTGTGTGTGTGTGTGTGTGTGTGTCTGTGTGTCTGTGTGTCTGTGTGTGTGTGTGTATGAGCATGCCCATCGGTATATGACCTACATGTATCTGTACTTGCATGCACTCTGATCCCTCTGTGTTGTGCTACACGGGAGTCAGTGTAGGCTTTCGATCGAGTGTTGTGCAGTGGTTGAATTCCTCCGTCAACCTGTGGCAGCAAAATGTCAGTGTGCACTTTGTATCAATGTGCCATATTGACACAAGCTGCATGCTGACATTTCAAACAACACATTGTGTTGCTCTGCTTGAGCAGGTTACAGATCCTCACCTCTTCTTAGTATCCACTGTGGCGACTTTTGCCCAGTCATGGTCAGCAGACACAAAGCAAATGCAGCGACTCTGGCCCCGACACTACTCCAACATTGTTGTGCCTTGTGCTTGCCAGGCCAGCAAAGCTGCTCACTGTGCACGCCACCCAACAGACACACGCAAGCAGGAGGAAACAGGGGTGCTGCATCTGGACGTTCTCTTCGCTATGTATCGCATCAAGATCAAGACTGCGCTTGTAGCTGCCCGGGATAAAGGTTTGCTAAGCTTTTGCATGCAACTACCCATG